TTTATCAAAATACCTATGACATTTTTCACAGAACTAGAATAAACCATCCTAAAATTTATATGGAACTGAAAAAGAACCTGAATTGCCAAAGCAATCTTGAGAAAAAAGAACAAAGCTGGAGGCATCACACTCCTTGACTTCAGAGTATGCTGCAAAGCTACAATAATCTAAACAGTACAGTACTGGCACCAAAAAAAACCCCCAAAAAACAAAAAACCACACAGATCAATGGAACAGAACCGAGAACTCAGAAATAAACCCATGTATTTATGGTCAACTCACTGATGACAAAAGAGGCAAGAATATACAGTGGGGGAGGGGGATAATCTCTTCAATAAGTTGTGCTGAGAAAACTGGGCAGCTACATGCAAACAAATGAGATGAGAACATTTTCTCACACCACATACAAAAATAAACTCAAAATGCATTAAAGACCAAAATGTAAGACCGGAAACCATAGAATTCCTAGAAGAAAAGATAAGCAGAAAACTCTTCGACATAAATTGTAGCAATATTTTGGGGGGCCTATTGCCTGAGGGAAAAGAAACAAAAGCAAAAATAAACAAATAGGGCCTAACTAAACTGAAAAGCTTTTGCACAGCAAAGGAAGCCAGCAACAACCTACTAAAAGACAACCTACTAAATAAGAGAAAATATTTGCAAATGATATAACTGATATGGGGTTAATTTCCAAAGTATATAAACAAGATGGCCAACAGGCACATGAAAAGATGTTCAACATCGCTAGTCATCAGAAAAATACAAATCAAAACCACAGTGAGATATCATCTCGCCCCTCTCTGTATGAATGGCTATGAACAAACAATGAATGCTGGTGAGGATGTGGAAAAAAGGGAACACTAGTGCACTGCTGCCAGAAATGTAAATTGATGCAGCCACTGTGGAAAACAGCACGGAGGTTCCTCAAAAAACTAAAAATATGATCCAGCAATTCCATTCCTGGGTACATATTCAAAGAAAATGAAAACACTAATTCAAAGAGATACATGCACCCCAATGTTCCCAGCAGCATTGTTTACAATAGCCAAGATAAGAAAGCAACTCAAGTGTTCATTAACAAATGAACAAATAAGGAAGATGAGGTAATATATACAATGGAATACTACTCAGCCTTAGAAAAGAATGAAATCTTGCCATTTGCAACAACATAGATAAACCTGGTGGATATTATCTTAACGAAATAAGTCAGACAGAGAAAGACAATTACTGTATGTCACACTTATATGTGGAATCCAAAAAATAAAAGCAACAAATGAATATAACAAAACAGAAACATACAGATATAGAGAACAAACTAGTGGTTACTAGTTGGGAAAGGGAAGTGGGGGGGGCCAAGATAGGGTAGGAATTAAAAAGTACAAACTACTAAGTATAAAATAAATAAATTAAAAGGGTATATTGTACAGCACAGAGAATATAGCTGACATGTTATAATAATGTTCAATGGAGTATATAATCTATACAAATACTGAATCACTGTGTTGTACACCTGAAACTAACATACTATTGTAAATCAACTATATTTCAATAAATAAATTTATGAATTGTTTACTTCTAGAATTTTCTATTTAATATTTTCAGACCTTGGTTGACTACAGGTAACCAAAATTGTGAAACCAAAACTGTGGTAAGGGAGGACTATTATAATTAAGCCAGTCAAACCTAAAATACCTGTTAGCCATGTAACAGGCCAAGAAGGTAAATCTGTTTAATGATCAAAATAGACTGAAATTCAAGGAGAACGCATGCTCAAATCAAAATCAGTTCTAGCATTCATCGTAATTACAACACTTTACCGTTTTCCTCCATATCAGTTTTCTCTGCTTTTGAGCGGTCTTCCCGGTTTACCAGTTGTCTGGTAGCACAGACCTGCTTTAGGCCAAGGAAAAGGAAAAGAATTGAGGGTACAATCTGTCCCACCACAGCATCCACTGCAGGAGGTCGATTCTGCAATTCCAAAAGGATACTCAGTCCTATTATACACATCTTCCGGTCATGATGCCTACAAATTATAAAGGAAGAAAAAAAATGTGCACGTGAAAAATGAGGACAAATTCTGCAGACCTTACGAAAAGGAATGTCCAAAGGGTACTCTGAGGTTCATTCACTGAAATCATACAGGGGTATCCCCCATTTTGTACTATACAAAATCCTATGTAAATCAAGTTTTGTAAACCAGTTGTCATCAAAGACCAATGGGAGTCTACAATTAATATGGTGAATCTTGATTAATCAGGTTATGGTTAATATAAATGCTATATCTGGACCTGAGCATTACAAGTTTTACTAAAGCAGGAATATCTGACAACATAAAATTCCTATCCAATGGAGAAAATGAGGAGTTCCTTAGACTGTGTCTTCACTGGACTGGTCTCTGAGGCTTCTTGGCACATATAACTGTACACTAACCCCATATGCCAACAGCTCTTTCAAAACCTCAGCATCTAATAAGCTGAACTTGACAGCTGTAAGTAAAGCTATTAAATACTCTCTGCTCTAAAACAGGATAAGAAAAATCTAATTCTGAAGGAAAAAAAAAATTTGACCAATACATATCACACACATTTTTCTACTATCTGTTTCTTCTAAATTGTTTAAAACTAAAAATATTAAGAATGAAAAGATTACTGTATTAACACCCTTAAGATTGCGAGCATGAACAAAAAATTCATCGGCAATGATTAAAACTGAGAGTAACATACAACAGACTCAAAGATGAATATATTACTAGCTTCTGTTATCCTTCATCATTTCCATTGCTTGACTGATTCAAATTACTAATGCCAAAGCGGTATACTGCAGCAGGAACCACACTTGACCCGAGGACTTTCTCATCCATGTAGCCCCTAACTAGCAGTGCACACCGGGTGTCAAGAGCTTCACAGAGGGAAAGATGATTATCGAGTGGGGCTCTAAAGATTCTCAGGGAGCACAGCCCAGCCATGCCCGATCTATGCAGTAGCTGACACAGACTTTCTATTTTTGGAAAATTGCTTACAGGTGCTAATAGCGATCAGCATACCAACTGTGTAACTTTGAATGACTAAATCTCTACTCCCTAAATCTCTGTCAGACGTAACTTTAAGCACAGTTGGTTCTTAAAGTATGTTCTTCTTTTTAAAGCTTTAATAAGGAATCTGAATCAGTGACAAACTCCAGTCTCCTAGAAAAATTAGAAGACACACAGCAGTTGGTAACTATGTTCCCCCCATTCCTTATCTACCTTCCTAATTCAGGCCTCCATCATCTCCCCACCACTCAGCAGCACCCCAGCTACTCCTGCTGGAATTCTTTTCCCCTCAGTAAAATTTTCTAAATGATATCTTACAAAACTTAAAAAGGACACTAGTTATTTCTAATGTTTTAAACAAATTAGTCAGCAATCTAGCTCAAATTCTAGTACAACAAGGTGACTTATATGTGTTGGGCCACTTGAGGTGGGCATATAACTACTACTGGGGACCTCACTTTTCCTACGGTGGAAAGCTAGGAGAGTGCTTCACGTGAAGCCAAATTCTTCTCCGGGGCAGGACCTGGGCTACAACCTACAGTCCCTTCAACCTCACATCTGAGAACAGGATCCCGTGAGATCCACAAAGAGTTCAATGTCCTGGGACAGCACAATCTTTACCAGACTGGGACTTTCCTTATAAACACAGCTCCATTTAGAATGTTGTTACCCTCAAACACCTAATAGCCATGGAACCCAGATGGGCACTTAATTCTTGTTGCCTAGAGATGTAACAGTACACGTAAGTCAAAACCAAGTGGGGAAGGGCTATACCGAGTTTTCAGAGCCTGCGTTCTTTCCACTAGATTCTAGTGCTGGAACACATTCTTAATTCTCTAAAAATTTAATATTATGTTAACAATAACACTGAAAACAATTCCGAAGATATGAAAATTATCTTCCTGCATGCTTTTATGTGTACATGTTAAAAAGTCAACTTTCCAGAAAGAGAAATGCAGTGTAAAATCCAAAAGACACATACCCAAGAAAACAATCTGTATCATTCATCCACTGATTTATAAATTGTACAGTTACAGGTCCAGGGTTGTGAGGCAACTGAATTCGTTCTAAAGTGTGTAGCAACAAGTCGGGCTTGTAGTACAAGGCAGCGATCGCAACTTGAAGACACATGGTACGAAGCTCACTGGTCTTGACCCCTCGGGTTAATCTCTCCAAAACAAGTTGCACAAAGAGAGGAATGCACTAGAGGGAAAAAGAAAAAGAGAAACCAAGTCACTTTTACAGGAAGCCAAATGTTGCTAAAGTGTGATCAATACATAAAACACTCTTCATGACAATAAAGAGTTTTGCTTGTTTAAATCACTTTTTGAGTTATTAAACAAATTTATATTCTCCTAAAAACTCAGAGAGATTAAATGGCCAAAAAGAGGTTCTAGAGGAGTGCCAAAGCATCTCCTTCCCTTTTAAGTGAAGATGACATTTAGCTGAAGATTGTCCTACAAGAGTTCACACTCAAATGATGGCATAATCCAAACGCAGACTCAGTCATGTCCATATTTAAGTGAAAATGACTAGGGTGACATTTGTCTTTGATAAATCAAATTGGAAAGATTTAATTAAATCGATATAAATAATTAAATCGATTTGATTAAATCTATTAATAAAGATTCCATCGTTAAATTAATTTGGAAAACACAGAATACTAACACTCCTTTAGATACATTTCCAGATAAAGGCATTTAGAAGTCAGTCAATAATGAAATAAATTCTGTCTTATCCAATTTTTCCCAGACGTACTGGACCATTGAATAGTCTTTTTTATGTACACCTACTAACACCATTAGAATGTCATCATTCAAGTAATATCACTCTATTCCCATCTACTGGTACCTACACTTTCTGGATCTGTGAAAGAGACCATCTTCGTATTTTGCAAGGAAAACCTGTGCTGGTGGGCCTTTCCCTGCCCTCCTCATCTAACATCTTGTTTTTTTCCTGGGGTTTTCTATACAATGTCTGCAATGACTCCCACTATGAAACTTGTTCTATTTTCCACTCCGAACGCTACTAACCTAAAGCAGAACCAATACCTTTAAACCTTCTTGCTCATCTTTACATCTCAGTGTATGCAGAAGGCCTCTTTAAAGACACTGCTAGCAGATGTATCACTCTAAATCCCTCTCTTTGATTATGTCATTTCTCTGCTCAATAGGTTCTCTGTTCAATTGCTTACAGCAAGGTTTGGTCAACTTTTCATAGACATTTTCAACTTTGCAGGTCACATAGAGTCCCTGTTACATATTCTTCTTGAAAAAAAAAACAACTTCAAAAATGTGAAAACCATTCTTAGTTCCCAGGCCATACAAATACAGATTGCAGGCACAAAGCTACAATAATCAAAATAGTATGGTACTGGCACAAAAACAGACACATAGATCAATGAAACAGGATATACCCATGCCTAAAAAAACCCCGTGCACTTTATGGTCAACTAGTCTACAACGAAGGAGGTAAGAACACACAATTGAAAAAAGACATTCAATAAGTGGTGCTGGGAAAACTGGATAGCTACACATATGAGAACAAAATTAGAACATTCTCTAACACCATATACAAAAATAAATTCAAAATGGATTAAAGACCAAATGTAAGACCAGATACTCTAAAACTCCTAGAGGAAAACACAGGCGGAACACTTAGACAGAAATTGCAGCAATATTTTCTCAATCTATCTCCTAGATTAATGGGAATAAAAGCAACAATAAGCAAAAAAATAATTAAACTTAAAGGCTTTTGCACACCAAAGGAAACCACAAACAAAATGAAAAGACAACCTATGGAATGAGAAAATATTTGCAAATTATAAGACCAACAAGGGATTAACTTCCAAAATATATAAACAGCTCGTACAGCTCATTACCAAAAAAAAAAAAATCAAAAAATAGACAGAAGACTTCAATAAACATTTCTCCAGATATACAAATGACCAACAGGAGCATTAAAAGATGCTCAACATCACTATTAGAGAAATGCAAATCAAAACTACAATGAGATGTCACCTCACACCTGTCAGAATGGCCATCATTCAACAAATAATAAATGCTGGAGAGGGTACTGAGAAAAAGGAACCCTCCTACACCGTTGGTGGGAATGTAAATTGGTGCAGCCACTATGGAGGACAGTATGGAGGTTCCTTAAACAACTAAATCAGAGTTACCATATGATACAGCAGTCCCACTCCTGGGCATGTATCTGGAGAAAACAGTCTTTGAAAAGACCCACGCACTCCAGTGTTCACAGCAGCACTATTTACAACAGCTAGACATGGAAGCAACCTATATGTCCAACAACAGATGACTGGACAAAGAAGTGTTCAACCAATTCAGCAGAACTGTCTTTCAGAAATAAAAGTGAAATAAACACATTCTCAGAAAACAAAAACAGAGAATTCACTGCCAGCAGACCTACAAGAAATACTAAACAAAGTTCTTCAGGCTGAAAACAAGTGACCCAGAGGGTAATTCATAGAGATGCGCACACACACACACTCCAGTAAAAGTAACTAGGTAATTATAAAAAACAGTAAAAATGGTATTTCTTTAACTTTCTTAATTGTTTTGAAAAGCAATCACAGGGTGGGGAGGGTATAGCTCAAGTGGTAGAGCTCATGCTTAGCATGCATAACTTCCTGGGTTCAATCCCCAGTGCCTCCTCTAAAGATAAATAAATAAATAAACCTAATTACCTCCCTCCCCCCAAAAAAATAAGTAAATAATTTTAAGTAATCACATAAAATAACATGTTATAATTGTATTGTTGAGACTGCAAAATATAGAAATGTAATATATTCAACATTGACAATACAAAGGAGGTAGAAGCAAGATTCTACTGGAATGAGGAAATGACACCAGGTGGTAACTGCAGTCCATAGCAACAAATAAAGAGAACTGAGAAATGGCAAATAAGAAGGCTAATACAACAAACTCTATAAATATACACTTGATTGTCTTTCTTTCTTTTTTTTTTTGTCTTTCTTTTCTTAGCTTCTTTAAAATAAAATTACAAATAGCAATAATTATAAACAGTGTATTGTTGGGTTTGTAACAACATATAGATGTAACATATATAACAATAATAGTACAAAAAGTGGGGAAAAGGAATAGAGTAGGAGTAATGTATCTGTATGTCACTAAAATTAAGTCAATCTAAATCTGAGGAAAACTCTGATAAGGTAACATTTATATAGTAAGCGCTACAGCAACCACTAAGAAAAACGTTTAAAATAGTGGAAGAAAAAAGGCATTAAAGGAATTTCATTATAAAATATTTACTTAATCCTTAAAACAGAAACAGACTCATAGACATAGAATACAAACTTGTCGTTGCCAGCGGGGAGGGGGGTGGGAAGGGAGAGACTGGGAGTTTGACATTTGTAGATACTGACAGTTATATATAGCATAGATAAACAAGTTTATACTGTATAGCACAGGGAAATATATACAAGATCTTGTGGTAGCTCATGGTGAAAAAAGAATGTGAAAATGAATATATGTATTTTCATGTGTGACTGAAAAATTGTGCTCTACAGTGGACATTGACACAACATTGTAAACTGACTATAACTAAACTTTTTAAAAAAGGAGAAGGGGGGGGAAGGGGAGGGAGGAGGAGGAGGAGAAGAAGAAGAAAGAAAGAAAATATTTACTTAATCCAAAAGAAAGCAGTAAAGAAAGAATGGCGGGGGAACCATGAAAGACACAAAGAAAATTAAAATAACAGATTGAATACGTGTAACAGTAATAACAGTAAATGTGAATGGTTCAATTCAAAGATACAAACAGACTGAAAGTAAAAGGATGGAAAAAGATATTTCATGAAAGAGCAACCATAAGAAAGTTGAAATGGATACACTAATATTAGAACAAAACTACCTCAAAACAAACAAAAACTGTTACTAGAGATAAAGAGAGACATTTTTATCAATAAAAGAGTCAATTTACCAGGAAAATAAAACCGTTATTAACATATGTGCACCTAACACAAACCCAAAATACATGAAACAGAAACTGACAAAAATAAGAGAACTAAACAATTCAATAACAGAGACTTCAATACTTCACTTTCAATAATAGAACAATTAGGTAGAAGATCAGCAAAAAAAAAATAAAAGATTTAATCAACATTATGGACCAACTAGATCTAACAAACCTCTACAGAACACCTGGCCCAGAATATATATTATTCTCAAGTGCACATGGAACAATCTCCAGGACACACTATACGTGGGGCCACAAAACAAGCCTCAATAAACTTAAAAGGAATGAAATCACACAAAGTATGTTCTCTATTCACAATGGAGTAAAGTTAGAAATCATTAACAGAGAATTTTAGGAAATTCACAAACATATGGAAATAAAACAAGGTTACTCCTAAGTAACCAATGGGTCCAGAATAAACCACAAGGGAAATAAGAATATATTTTGAGATGAATGTGAACACATATCAAAACTTACGAATATAGCTAAAGAAGTGCTTAGAGGGAAATTTATAGCTATTGGTATCTATATTAAAAAAGAAGAAAGGTCTCAAATCAAATAACCTATTCTTCCACCTTAAGACACTGGAAAAAGAAGAGCAAGCTAAGTTCAAAGCAATTTAAGGGAATAAATTTTGAAGACTAGAACAAAAATGAATGAAATAGCAAACAGAAATACAGAGAACAAAATCATAACTTGGTTCTTTAAAAAGATCAACAGAATTGACAAATCTTTATCCCAAAAGACAAAAGAGAAAAAGGGAGAGAGAGAAAGAAAAGATGCTAATTACTAATATCAGGAACAAAACAGTGTCATTATTATCAACCTACAGAAACAAAAAGAAATATAAGGAAATATTACGAACTGCATGCCAACAATTAGTTAACTTAGATGAAATGGACAAATTCCTAGAAAGATGCAAACTACTAAACTGACTTGAAAAGAAACAGAAAAACAAGTAGACTTATAACAAAGAGACTGAATTGGTAATTTAAAAATTACCTGCCAAGAAAAGCTCAGGCAAAGATGGCTTCACTGCTAAGTTCTAACATTTAAAAAACACCAATTTTCACAAACTCTTCCAAAAAACAGAAGAGGATGGAGCACTTCCCACCTCATTCCATGAGGTCACCATAACTGATTCCAAAGCCAGACAAAGATATCACAAGGAAAAAAAATTATAGATCGGTATCTCTTATAAATATAGACACAAAAATACTTTTAAAAAATACCACCTAACTGAATCTGGAAATACATAAAAAGGAGGGTCATATTCCATGACCAAGGAGGATTTACACCAGGAATGAAAGGTTGGTTTAACATCTGAAAAATCAATTAATGCAATATACCATATCCATAGAATAAAGGATCAAAGATACTTGATCACCTCAACAGATGCAGAAAAAGCACATAAAAAAGCCTTAATAGATGCAGAAAAAGCATGTAACAATGCACAACACCTTCAAGACCAAAACAGTTAAAAAACCAGGAATAGACAGGAATACACTCAACCTGACAAAAGACATCTATGAAAACTCCACAGCTAACATCAGACTTAATGGTGAAAAGAATGCTTCCCCCTGCCAAGACGTCTTCTCTCATCACATCTACTCAACATTGCACTGAAGGCTCTAGCCAAGGCAATTAGGCAAGAAAAATAAAATAAAAAGCCCCCCGACTGGAAAGGTGAAACTCTACTTGCAGATGAGATGAACTTGTATACAGAAAATCCTAAGAAATCCTCTGAAATGCTATTAAAACTAGTAAACACGTTCAGCAAGGTTGCAGGAAACAAGATAAATATACCCCCAAAAAAGTGTATTTCTAAACACAAGCAATAAACAACTTCAAAATAAAATAAAGGAAACAATGCCACTTACAATAGCATTAAGAAGAATAAAATACTTAGGAACATTTTAACAAAAAGAACTGCAAAACTTAGACTCTGAAAACTAAAAAACATTTTTGAAAAAAATTAAAGATGACCTAAATAAAAGGAAAGACATCTCATGTTCAGGGACTGAAAGACTAAATATTCTCAAAGTGACAATATTTCCTAAAGTGATTTACAGATTCAGCACAATGCCTATAAATCAATAATAAATAGACTAACAACCCAATTAAGAATGGGCAAAGGATCTCAATAAACAGATAAACATTTCTCAAAATATATATACACAAACGGCCACATGAAAAGATGCTCAACATCATTAGCCATCAGGAAAATGTAAACCAAAACCATGAGAGACCACTTCACACCTGTTAGGATGACTATAACAAAAAGACAAAACAAGTGTCGGTGAGGATATGGAGAAACTGGAACCCTCATTCACTGCCAGTAGGACTGTGAAATGATGCAGCTGCTTTGGAAAAGTTTGGCAGTTCCTCAAATGGTTAAATACAGAATTACCACTTCTAGATATATATCAAGAGAAATGAAAACATATTTGTACAAAAACTTGCATACAAATGTTCATTTGTTCATAATAGCCAAAATGTGGAAATAGTACAAATGTCCAACATCCGATGAATGGTTAAAATAAACGTGATATACCCATGTGATGGATACCAATTTTTACCAATGGGAAAAATAAAGTACTGATACATGCTACAACATGGATGAACCTTTAAAACATTATGTTAAGTAGACAAGTCATTCGCCAAGAACTACATATGATTCCATTATATGAAATGTCTAAAATAGGTAAATCTATAAGGAAAGAAAGTAGAATGATGGTTGCCTAGGGCTGGGGTTGTGTTAAGGGGAAACGAGGAATGACTCCTATGAGTACAGAGTTTTTTGGGGATATTGCTGAAATGTCCTAAAACTGATTGTGATAACGGTTGCACAATTCTGTGACTATATTAAAAACCACTGAAGTATACACTTTAAATAGGTGAACTGCATGGTATATAAATTATATTCCAGTAAAGCTGTTATTTAAAATTACATAGAGCAAATATTGCAGAACAACAAAAAAAAGACAACTCCACGGTTATACTTGAACACTTCAACACTTTTTTCTCCGAAATTGAGTATCATACCACAATTGTATCAAAAATTGAGTTAATCTTGTTAAAAATATATAATACCTTCTATATCAGTAGAGAAAACACTTTCTTTTCTTTTTGCACAATACCTTCATTTCTGGTTTAAAAAGGTATCTGGGAATATTTCAATAGCATACACAAAAACAAAGGGAAAATGCAAGTCTTTGGGAATTCAACTGAGTAGAATTTGCACATTTATCTCCTTCATGATTTGCCTGATAGCTTGATATACATTTTTCTGTATATCTAGAATGCAAGATATAATTTCCAAATTGCATGGGCATTTTTGTCATTGAATTTGTACCAGTAAGCACAAACAAGAGACTCTCTTTATAATTTTCCATCATAATATAAATAAAGTGTCAATCCGGCATGTAAATTTTAAATGTAAACATCACGTGGGATGTTTTCCATACATAAATTACCTGATCAATTCCCCTTCCTTTGCACTGAAGAATGATTACTTCAAGAAGTTTGGCGGCATGGCATTCTGCATCTTCTCCTGCATCTCCACATAGTACCTACAGTAATTACAGTTTCACTCAGCAGTGAATAGCAATGCAAAGAATTTAATCAAGTCCATGTGACATAAATATCCCTTAAAAAATCAGCCATTACAATCATAGCTTTGCTTGCATTGTAAGTTCACCTTGCCAACCCAAAGAAGAAAGTTCAAAATAAAGTCCATCTATCTTCTTTACCTAATCTACATTCCTGCTCTAAAATACGAGGAATGAAAGAGACATAACTATAGATAAAAGAAAGAGAATACTATGAAGAATACTATATTCCTTAATATATCTGAAAACTTAGATGAATTGTTTTCTAAGCAAATACAATTTAAGAAAACTGAATTGAAAAGATATTCCAGATAAAGATGACAGACTGAACATTTTCATTCAATTGTGTTCCTCCCCAAAAGGCCATTAAAATGAAGGTAAAGATATTTCTGGAGGCATACATTCACAAAGACAGAGAAAAGGAGTGACAGCTATAAAACTGTAGAAACTGGAGGAGGGATGAATCAGTGAGCTGAAACGTAAGCAGGTAGTGAGAAAAGCCAAGAATCAACCCGATTTACATAAACTTAAAATTCTACCTCCAGGGCAATGTTTCTAGCTCTAGATTCTAAGCGTGACTAGGCTCTGGACCCAGAATGCCTTGGTTTGAATCCCAGCTCTGCCACTTATGAGCTGTGATTTTAGGAAAGCTACTTAACCCCTGTAACTTACTGTCTCCATCTGTAAAAGGAATGTAACAATAGACTCGTCATGGGATTAAATGACACAGAAAGAAAAAGCCAGCCTCTCTTCCCAAAATTGAATTTACGTGGCTTCTTTGCTGGTTTGGTTGAAACAGAAACTAAGTATATTTCAGTAGTTTTAAAAATGGGCTCTGGAGCCAGACTACTTGGGTTCAAATCTGGCTCCAACACATAATAGCTATATGACTTGGGTCAGTTTACTTAACATTAGGCACAATGCAAAATACCTGTCTCCCCCAGGCGATACCTTCCTTATAATGTTAAAAAGACTGGAAAAGTTAATGTGTACAAAGTGCTTAGGAAATACCTGATATACAGTAAGAGTTTGGTAAGTGTTAGCTATTATTAAAATCAGGAGATAAAAAAGAAATTTCTTCTGTAGGGCACAGGGAACTATATTCAGTATCTTGTAATAACCTTTAATGAAAAATAATATGAAATCGAATATATGTACATCTGTGCATGACTGGGACATTGTGCTGTACACCAGAAACTGACACACTGTAACTGACTATACTTCAATTAAACAAAAACAGAAATAAGAAATATACTTGAGCTACTTGATAGGTAGAAGGACGTCACTGTGAATGTCACTTTTACTCTGCGTGCGGTACCACAGAGCAGCTGTGAGTTACTACAGGACTCTGCACAACGCTTCCTGCTTGCTGCTTTCTCCTCCCCTTTCCCTCACCAGCAGCTGTCCCTGTAACTTAGGAAAAAACTGAAGGCAGCCATGTGACCATGACTTAACACGCTGGGTTATTACTGAGCTAAATAAGTCTTCAAAAATCACGATTCTCCTCCTGTAGTTTATATGTGGGGAAACTTAGTGACTTCCCCCAATCTCCCAGGCTCTCTATAACTGAACTGAAATCTAATCATATAATCTGAGTATCAGGTTCAGCACTCTTAACAGATTCTGGTGCACGTCTCTGCTCATGAGGGAGACAGGTGTACACTAGCCACTGTACTCCCAGCTCCAAAGCGAAACTTAGATTTCTGGCTATTTGAGCTTTCTAGAATCTGCCAGCTCCATGCAACAGACTTATATTTATTATGAATAATACATAATTCACCTAAAAGAGGGGGAAAATATTAGTCATCAATGATTCTAAGATATAACCAAGAGGGCCAAATCTAACCTGTGAGAAAGATTACATAGCAGACAATCATGCTTGTGCATAAATATAACAGTAACCATTCTGTGGCTTACAAATTATTCTGTACTGAGCTAAACGATGCTGTTTTTCCAACTTTTCTGATTTTTGCTCTTGTTTATGTTCAAATTTCCTATATCTAGTGGCTTCCAACATACATATTCAATTAAAAGAAAAATCAATGAATTAACAATAAATGGCAATAAATTGACAAACTGTGGTGTTTCCATAGCACTTGTAATTAAGTAGCAGGTATGCACTGTTGAAAGAAGAAAATTATTTACCCTAAGCATTATAAAGGACACAGCTATAAAAGTGGCAAACATTCTTAAGTACAACGTACCATACGAAATTTTCAAATAATAATTTCAAACTCCACTTGAAAATACAAAATGACAAATATATGTTGATGAAGGCAATACAGAACTAAATGCATAAGAAACAAACGGAAAGAGTATCTGAAGTAAAACAAAACACTAGTAAGTAAACATTAGTGAGAACCACTATGACAAATGATTAGGACATGCTTACCTTTCTACACATTGTAAAAAGTATTTCTAAATGCTTTGGATTTGATAGTAAAGTATTTGTATCTATTGTCACATAATTATGCAGAAGAGGCATCATGTCTGGAAAACAATTTCAAAATTCCAATGAGACTTGAGTAACCGAGGTAGAAATAAACTATCCCCCTGAAACCACACTTTTGTAGCACCCCCACGTTATCACCTTCCCTTCCAACTACAAAATGCCTGAAATGACAGTGGTAAATCTGCCCTATTTATAGATGAGAAAAGCGTGAGACAGAAAGATTAAAATGCTCATCATTCATTATGCTGATTGCTCTGAGTGTTCTTTCCTCCCCAGAGCACTCATCGCCATCTGACACACTGTATTTGCTTGCTTGCCTGTGTGTTTCCCACCCCCCACCTCCCTCTTACTAGAATGGACATGTCAAAAGGACAAGGGCTGTGTATTCTGTTCACTGTTATTTTGCTAAACTTACGGCAGTGCCTGGAATATAGTCAGTATTCAGAAAATACTAACTGAATTAAGGTATGGGCGTACGTTCTGACTGCAAAGTAATATAAGATAATTTAAGGTACAAAAGGAAACAGTCTCCCTCCTTCTGCCTCTATTCCTAAGGGCTCGAAAACACTCCAATGCTAGCACCACCCTTTTCTCCACAGGGAAAGAACACTGTTTTCTGATCGGCACTGGAATTATACACATCTTTGTGTGAAGTGTCAAAGAAAGTAATATCTATGCAGACACAGAAGAGCAAAAATATTACATGATTGAAATCGTACCTGTAAAGTATTCAAAACAATCCTGTTGAAAAACCTCATATAATATACCTAGAAGCTGCCACATTTGAGGGGAAATAACACGGCAGGTTAGACTATATGCCAGTGAAAGAATTTCTTCATAGAATTCTAGGCAAAAGAAAATCTCTAGTTAGAATGGTAGGAAACAGCAAGGGCTAAACACAAAGACCACACAGAGGAAGATCTCGGCTGCACGCTCACGGGTATTCCTCTCATATCTAACGAAATTTTGAGCATCCGTTTCTTAGCATTCACATCTTCAGCTATACCTACTTGCCACCTTCCGTTTCTTACCAAGATCTGCCCCCTTCTCAACGAGGCAAAGGATTGCTTTTACTCAAGTTACTTATAATACTGAAAAATCATATTTTTGTTATAATATAGAAAATATTTTATGCTTATAAAACTGTACTAGAAATGGGTATAAGAAGGAACAGATTATAGTATATCTCTTACGCACAGGAGTTTAAATTTACAAATACTCAGTATTTTTCAGAGAGCTTAGTTAACCTAGGCAAAAGTATCTACCTGTCTCACGTATTTTTACGGACTATATACTGGACAGCATTTTGTCAATATACAAAGCTTGTAAAATTTAGATAGCATTTTTAAATTTATCTCAAGACATGTAAACTCACTATAAAGCAGAAGAGTCCAAAGGGACTTGTATTTGTACATTTATTTATTATTATTACCCTCCAGTCAAAAGGAAATTATATCTAAATATACAATCAGAAAACACAAACCTCAACACAAAAATTTCAAATAATTCCTACCATGCCGCTGAGCAAAAAAGTCTAACTTCAAAGGTTTTTTTTCTTTTCCCTCTTATGAAAAGGAACTAATATTCACCCTGGAAGTTTGAATAAAATTTTTTTTCTGTAACAGTATTTATAACTTCTAATATATTCAAAAGCTAATAATACAGATATTTATTTGCTTTACGAAAAGCAAAATAAAATGGAAATCCCAGATAGTGGGAAATTGTTATATAAGGCAATCACTTGAAAAAACACCAGTCGTCTGGATATGAAATTTCTGAAAGTCCTCTTCATTATTACCTCACCTTGGAAGATGAGGAAAGGAAAGCAAACGCCTTTCCTAATGTGAGGAATCTTGACAGCTACAGCATCGTGTGCATGACCTGGCCACCCAGATGCTCAAGACCAAGACTCTGAATCTTGGAGGAGAAACTAGAAGGTACGAAGCCATTCCAGGTTTTTTATTTTGTTTTTCGGTTTTGGTCTTGGCTGTCTGTGTTGTGGTCTGGACTATAGAGGGCAGCAGCCCAGGACAGCGTGGAGAAAGGCATCACCAGCCTTGTGTCTAAGCAGAACACTTTTATGGTAGAATCCTGGCTGGCTCTGACCAACCTCAGCCTTCCCACTGATTTGCTGAGCTACCAGATATCCTTCTGCTAAGTTCCATTTAAGCTTAAACTGACCAGGAATTATTTCAGTTATTCTTAACCAAGAAGACTATTAGGGTAGGAAGGTTTTACTACCTTTGACTTCCTGCATAAGATAAAGCAGCTAAGTCAGTGAGAGCTAAGCCTGGCTTCTAATAATAAGTCAACTTCATGAGAAAATGAAGCAATGAAAAGAGGCAGAGGAGGGAGGGAAAAGGGGGACAATGGAAAGAGACCGGACCGTGGACATACACGTGGTCAGACTGCTGTGGTGGGGGTCCTGGATTAACAGGTGTTTAATCTGAGATCTTGTATGGCCAAATATTGGCTCAAAAAGGGCCCTTAAAATTACACGCATCACAGCTAAAAACATAAGAGAGATCTTCCATCACGTTGGAGTACGGGAGGGGAGATTAGAGAAGACACGCAGTTGAAACCATGGCTTTCTCCTCCGCCCAGCGCATCCAAGAAATAGGCCTTTTTCCTTTTCTTAACATCCTCACGTTGTAATTGCTCCAGTTAAATGTCTGGTACAAGCAGGGTAAAGAAGGTTGGTATAGCCTATTTCCCTTTGCTTGACTTCACAGTTTTTCTCCTCAAGATTACTTTACTTTAAATGTAAATGGAGATTATAGATTTGTAATATATTTATTTTATACTTGGTAATTTATACCTCTTAATCCCCTTCGCCTGAAATAAATAAACTACAAGCAGCACTGGGGATATAGTCAATATTTTCTAATAACTTTGCATGGAGTATATTCTATAAAAATATCAAATTACTATGTTGTACACTTGACACTATAACAACAAAAAACTTCACATGTGAAGTCTTTAAAACTTTTTCTCTGGAGAATTTCCAATTATAATCTCTTCCATCAATCAGGACATAAGTGAATATATTCTTTTTGAGCATATCAGAATCTCTGGAGTTATGGTCCAGGAATCTTCATTCTAACTAGATACAAAGTTTGAGAACTCCTGCTTTACAGCAACAATTGCAAAAGTAAGGAGTGTATATTCTAGGCAGGGTGCCGGATACTCCACTGAGATGGGAGGAGAATGTGTTGGAACACTTTATATACACACATACACTTTTAATTTCATGCTTTTACATTTCTACTTTTATGTATGCAAATGAAGTATACTGACATATGTATATTGCCTATAAATAAGTATTCAAATGTTATTCATATATATTACAAGTACATGTCCAATTTTTTACTAATGGTGTGACTGATAAGAAGTTTGAAGACAACTGCTCTTAGGCATAATGTGCTTTTGTTCCATCTTTCTGTGTACACACTCTACAGGCTGCGTCTCCCTCATGCCCACATGACTGGGCTGACATTGTCAAAATGCTTGGATACTATGGAAAATTCCAGTCAGTTTATAACATCCAGCATTAGCAACTGATCCTACTCAGAAGTCAGGCACCATAATACACACAGCAGAACAACAGTTAATTCCCACTTCTGTTCTGATATTGACATATGCCTACATTTCACATTTTTCAGTCTCAGATTAAAGTAACCTCACCTGAACCTCATCCCAGTTTTCTTAGAAACTTTAAATCCTGTCCTTTAAAAATTCCAAGACCAAAAATCCTTAATTGGCTATATTAAGATCACCTCTAAATGAAAATATAGACATCTAATATTAGAAAGTGTATCTAAAAATTAAAGAGAGTGTAAGCTTCTGTTTCTCTTAATTGTCCATCTTGTTGAACTCGAAGAGCTAAAAAACTGTATTTTTCATCAAATTTTAAAATATTCTCAATTTACCTTTATTCTCCCTTTGAACTTACCAATTACGTGTTTCTGTAAAACAAGATCAATGATCCGCAGACAGATATTCTCCAACTGCTGAGTCACCTAGAGAAAAATTTTAAATATTTAGTTTAAAATTCATCATGATAATCCTAATTTAACCTACAAATTTAATATTATTCCAATAAAAATAGCAACAGGGCTCTTTTTGTGAGGAGACATTGAGAAGTTAATTCTAAACTTCATGTGAAAAATTAAACATGCAAGAATAACCAGGAAATTCTGAAAAACAGACTAATGATGGAAGTGGGAGTTAAATCTATAATAAAATTACACATTAAGTTAATTCCTTATCTGCTATTTATACCAAAATAAATTCCTAATACGTCAAAAATTTCAATGTGAAGACTTAAGCCAAAAATATAAAAACAAAAAACAAAAAACAAAAAACCTGGCCTACAAGAAATAGTAAGAATTTGTATATAATCCTGAAAATGGAAAATAACTCAAAGCCTAGAAATCAGAAGTAAGTAATTAAGCCATTTGATTTCACAAAGTAAAAATTTCTACATAGGGCAGATGAAAGTCAAAGATAAATGAAAAATTGAGTGAAATATTTTCAAATGATATCACAAAGAGCAAATTCCCCTCACATGAAGTTAAACCAACAACAACAAAAGGCAAAAGTTATGAAAAACAAATATAAACAGACCTTAAGCTTATAACAAGATGTTCATTCTAACAGATGATTAGAGTACAAATTCTAAGCACAAGATTAACACTTTTCAACTATCAGACTGGCAGTGATCAAAAAGAATGGGGTTGGGAAGAGAGGCACTATTGTACATAACTTGGAGAAGGTAAACTGGCACATACCATGAAGGACAAGTTAGCAATATTTACTATTCTTCAACTTACTCATACATATGTCCTTTGACCGAGCAATTTCATTTCAAGGAATCTGCCCTCCAAACATATTATTACATGTGCAAGATGGCGTGTAAAAGGCCATTCACTGCAGCAATGTTTGTGATTAGTAACAACCAAATGTCCATTTAACAAGAGGCAATTAAATTATATCCATTAATGAGGGACTAGTTAAATAAATCTGACACATCATACATAGGGATATTATGTAACTATTAAAAATCTGTAACTTTATAGAATAGATAAACAAGATTATACTGTACAGCACAGGGAAATATATACAAGATCTTGTGGAAGCTCACAGCGAAAAAAGAATGCAACAATGAATATATGCATGTTCATGTATAACTGAAAAATTATGCTCTCCACTGGAATTTGACACAACATTGTAAAATGACTATAACTCAATAAAAAATGTTAAAAAATAAGTAAACAAATAAAATAAAGAGAAAAAATAAACAAATAAAATAAAAATCTGTAACTTTATTGACTAATATGGAAGGATCACCAAGATATATTATTCGAAAAATGGCAGATAAAAACTGTATGATATCTTTCTCCTAAAGGAAAAAATACACACACTCATTTTTTGTTAGGATATAATATAAAAATCTCTGGAAGGAAAAAAAAACCTGGTAAAAGAGCCATCTCTTGAAAAGGGATTTAGAAGACGGAGGAGCTGAATGAGAAGGTGAACTTTCACTGAATCCTTTTTACACCTTTTGAATTTTTCAACATATGCTTATACTAAGTATTTCTTAAATAAGTAAAAATTAAAATCCATGATGGGTTACACTTCTCATCCAAGTATCCTATTTCAACTTTGAAGCATATTCTTTCAGCATGCAGCTTACACTATTGTTTTAAAAGTTCAAATGATCAAAAATTTCCCAGTTTGAAAATCTGTCAATATGTTTAAAATCATTAAGCAAAACTGAATATGCTAGGCATCTGTTAGATTTCTAATTTCACTCTTCATACATTATGCATCTGTACATGGATTCATACATGTGTAAATTTTCCTTTAAAGGAAACGGTGTTTTAAAATTTGCTTTTAGTAAGTCAAAGTTCAAACTCATAAGACTGGCAGTCAGGAGGTCAAGATTCCAGTCTTCTAGTTTTTTGCCTCTAGTTACCTGGGACCTTAGTAAAGCCATTTAGCTGAAGGCTTTCAGTTTTTTTCATCTGTAGATAAGGAAGCTAGATTTGATTAGTGCATCTCAATTTTAACTTATGCCTCTCTTGGTAATCACAATATCACCTTTAACTTTATTTGAAATTCAAAATTAATATCAAGAGTAAAAGAATTAATACAAAAAGATAAAATGCTGTTTCATTTCCAAACTAACCCTGCTGCCCATCCTCCACACACCCATACTTGGAAAAACTCGACTCAGCGATTTCTAAGTGTCTTCATATTTAAAATACAAGTTCTACATACAAGATAACAAAATAACCCTTCAATGTACATGTAATTTAACTTGGAAATCTCATCGTTACTGAGAGGCCCATACAGTTTTGATAAGGACACAAAAATACAATAATGAATATGGAAATAAACATTCACATTAAGACTTTAAGGTGATGGGAAACCTGCCCAGGAGAATATCAAACCATTTTTAAGAAGCTGGTACGCATCCATTGGTATGTGATAAACACAGACAAGTCGACAGCCACTGGGTTTAACAATGCTATTTAAAGAACCAGCACCTGCCTTTTAAGACCCACTGTGTAAAACGGGAGCTGCCAAACGAGTCAACTGTGCTCACAGGAGCAATGAACTCAAACCCAGTTTAAGCAGAGGCTACGTAAGGCCGGAGGAGGAGAGCAGCGGGCTTTAGGGAGGGGTAAATTGATACATTATCAGGGTAATCCGACTGCAACCCCAAGTCTACAACTTACTGGCTCTGTGAACATGAGTCAGACTCTTGTTACTACCTGAACCTTGTTTTCCACAAAGGGACACTACCATTGCCTGCTCTGTCCACCTCATGGTGACAGAGCAAGATTCTATCGGCTGATGAATACGAGAATACATGATAAATGTCCGCACAAACTCTTATCCCAATATTGTTCTGGGATTCAGTTTAGGAAAAATGACGCTTGAAGCTCTTCTTCCTTTCCATTCTCAGATATTCGTTACATCAGAATATCATTCCATTACTTAAAAATTTGCCACTGTGACTGAATGGCCGCCTCTCTCTACCAAGAAGACTGGACTATGGATTTCAAATAGCAGGGCTCATGTCTTATTCCAGTTGATATTCCCCAAAATCCTAGCCTGGCACACAGCAGACGTGATGAACCGAACTCAGCTTAGCACAAAGAGATACACTATTTACTTTACAACCACATGCAATATTTCCCCCCAATCATTCTAACACTGTCCTTTAAAATCTGAGGGTAATGTTTAAAATCTAGCAACATAAATGGCAATTTAAAGGTCAAGACTTTAAAATTCATGCCCAATGACCATACGAATTTCAGTTAACGTTACTATAATGACATAATAAAACACAAAGAAATCTCACCTCTTTATGATCTTCTACGACGGTCAGGATGGTGTCAATGGTGTGCAGAATTCCCATAGCCATCACTGTTTTGTCTTCGACTTCCTCATACTCGTCACTTTGAAGAACTTTGCCAAATATCTCAGCCTATGAAAACAGCAAGCACATTTCACAATTGGTACTGCCATACCCGCCCTCCGCTGTGGTAAGCCAGCAAAAGGGCAGGTCACACATCTAGAGGCCAGTATTGTACAAACTGTAACATATGTCCTTTGCCAAGTCAATCAGTGCTAGAACCTCTCATGTTCTGGATACAGCCATTTATTCCCTATCTAGGCACAAAAGCAAAATATATGTTAGCTATGACAAGCAGACAGCAAATATTTAAATTCTGGTCATCATTAAATTAATAATAAATCCAAAGTCTAGGAAAACTAAAAAATAACACTAAAACAAAAAATTTAAGAGAAGGTTTAGGAGACAGCATCAAGGAATCGCTTAGAAAATGAAACAAAAGAGCGGACATGGAAGACTGGGGACAAAAGGTGAGGAAATCAGAGACTCAGTCCCGGCCCAGTATTCCACATCAGAACTATAGAACTGAATGGATGGTAGGAGAAATTCATCAAAGAAGTGGTACAAGAAGTTGCCCCGAACTGAAGGAAATGAGTTTCTAGAATCGAAGTCCAGAAAGTGAAAATTTAGGAGGCTCACTTCAAGACACATCATTAGGAAATCTCAGAATATTACAGATGAAAAAGGTGATCCTAAATGTTAGTAGATTTAAGCCTAATTAACTATAGAAATCATTAACTGTCAGAATTATTAGAGCAAGTATTTTTATAGTAGCATTTCAGTTACTTATAACTGAAGTCCAAATTTTGGAGTTTAATTTATTTATGTTAATCATGGCTGTTATACCAAACTGACATGCAGCTTTGCCCAGTCTCACCAAGTGCTGAGTCATGTCAACAGCAATGGAGGCGACCTCTTGACTGTATTCACATATCATCTTCTGGATGACATTAGTGACATCGTCATTCTCTGTCTCTCTAACAATGTGCAACAGCTCCTGCATAATAGGCCTCACGTGTGGTTTCATATATTCCTTGGCTAATGCAATAAAAAACAAACTCAGTAAAAAGTTAGCATTCACAAGTGGCGAAGGAAATTCACTTGGTCACAAGATAAAGTAACACAGCGTAGCAGGTTCCAGGGACGGTTAGTCCCGCACAGGAAAGAACTGTCCTGCCCGAAGTCCCAGCAGCCCCACTGAGAAATTTTCATCATACATATGCTCCGTCATCAGCATGACTAGTCAACATGAATGTGACATCAGACCACAAGTATTAAAAGCCACGTACATTATGACCAACACTGATGGTGCTCATTCCCTGCCCCACCCCATCTCTAACCACCTTCCTCCCAACATATGCTTATATAATAATCAGTCCTTCCATTGAAACGTTGCTGAACAGAAGTAAAGGGCAAAGGTTTAGTTGAACTTAGAAAAGAGAATTCTTCTAAACAAGGTATCTGTGTTATCACTCACTAGAAATACTCCTTAGTACTTTTGGAACTAGCAGAATCATAGAATCCTTGAGATGAAAGGAAATCTTGAAGCCATCTAGTCCAAACCCCTTAAATTTAAATACACGGAAATCTAAGCCTTGACAGATCACGTGCCTTGCCCAGGTTTACATGGCAAGTTAGTGGCACAATCAAAACTAGACCCCCAGGTCTCTGGATTGCAAGTCTGCCCTAGAGTCCAACAGTTATCAACTTGTTTCCTAATCTAAAATTTCTCTGGAAACCACAGTCCATAGAAACTCCCCAAAATGACAAGAATAAACTCCTATAAAACTCTGAGGGGGGCAAAACCTCAAAACTCCAAACCCTGAGCCTTAAGACTTAGGGATTCATCTTTGTTAGGGAAGTGCACAGAACTATTTAAGAAGGCCATGTCCAAAAAGCAAAGAAAATACACCTTCTAAACGGTGTATTTTTATTTTGAATTTAACTTTTTGGCTTTACCTTGTGCCTGGTTAGAAATTAATGACTGAAGAGCAAGGGCAGCTTCAACCTTGACGGGCATCTCCTTATCTTCAATCAGGCTCTTCTTCGCCAGGTCAACCGCATTTCTTAGGTTGAGCTCATTATGAAATTTCAAAGAACTGAATGCATGAAGTACCCAGCAGGACTATGTTATAAGAAAAAGGGAACTATTAGGACTGTGGCATGATATAATGCTGTCACACACAGAAGAACTTCTTGCTACATAAAATATTGTAATTCTACCAAGCACCATTTGTTTATTTCTTTGTTTCTGGAGAATAGCATGTTAGCCTTAGTTGCTAACTTCCAGATTTCCCAGTCTTCTTAGAAGAAAGACAGTTTTATTACTTTTAAATTGCCTATATGCATTAACATCATTCAGAGGAAAAAAGAAAACAGAGCCAAATTTAAGTGTCTCTGAAAAAAAGAAACCCTGTTAATGCTTTTAATAATTATTATGATTATATCTAATTTATTATTTATATGCAAAAGCGATACCAACTAATGTGGACATTCATTTACTGTTCTTCAGAGCAAATGAATGAAACATTAGTTTTTCTTATGCTAACTGGTTTAATAAACTTTATTTTTTCACTCACATAAGATACGAAAAATTATAAACCTTATATAGATTATCAAACATATATATTAAACCACAGAATCATATTATCACTCTTTTAATTCTCTGTGTGCATAAAACACAATCAACACTAATTAAATTGAATTACTAAAGACTTGATAGAGAATTACAATTCAGAGTCTGTGAAAGGTGGCAGCCTCCTTATAAAAACATTTGCATGCTCTCAACATCTCTAATCTACATTCGTCCAAATATTTCTCTAGTGACTATTATCTTTTGTTTATAAATGTTTTAGAGTATACAAAGCATTGTTAACATATGTTGCTTTTAGCAAGATATTTTATTGTGTTGATGTAGTTATAAAAATAAGTACTAGGCTCTTGAATTAAAGTTCTATTTCTATTTCTCTATAAAATACATTGTTTCTAGAAATAACATACACTTAGAACACAAATAAAGTACACAAATTATCATTTTCTCCATTTTACTAAGGCATATCTAACTCTTCTCTTGGAAATCATAATCAACTTTTTAGCCAAACTAGAATTTCCCTGCTGTTTTGGACACTGAAAATTAATCGGCTTATGAATTAACACCGTACCATTTCTGTAACATCATCCCTCTCACTGCGTGTATTACATCTGCAGCCAGTAAGGCGAGAGTGAGAAAGAGCTGGAATTAAGGTCCATAAATCCCTTTATTTACTAGTTTGTTCTTTATTCAGCTTGCTTGATTATAAGAGACATGCTAATGGACTTCATTTTGCCTCAATAGGTGGTCAAAGGCCAATATATCCAAAAACATTTAGTTCAATAATTAGCTTACAAATGAAAATTTCCAGATACGTGACGGAAATATAGGAAGCTTACTCTAGCTCGAAGGTATCCCAGGTTAGACAGTAACAATGGAAACACATGGTTCTGCAGCAACAGCTCCATTTGGTCCTTGAATAAACTCTTCTGTTAGGAAATAGAAGTTAAGTTTCACTTATCAATGCCTTTTTCATGTGTAAAATCACTTCCTAATAAAGTTCGCTTATTGTAAGTTACACTTTGTATACTTCTACTTACAACTTTGTAGCATTATTTGACCTACATATTTTATATTCTAAAACAACACAGAAACAGTACTGTGTACATAATTTGATACTGACTGGTCCTTCTAGAAACAACACTAAAATAATTTCGTATCTTTTTTTTACACATCAACAGTTTCATACTGAACAACTGATGAAAAAAAAAGTTATTTTTTAAATTAAACAAACAGATAACGGAAAGAAAACTATTTACAGTCAACCCAATCATGCAGAAAGTCACCAGTTTTAAACGATCCATTAACTTTCATATTCTCTCATTTGCCTGTGCTTCACAGTGTTAAGTAAAATTAAATCTGAGTAGCTTAACCTTCAATAAAATATCAGCGAGGGAACCAATCACATGCAGGGCTCCATCTTTCTTCCTAGGGTCAAAGTTCGGGTCTGTCAGGATTTGGTAACAGAATGCCATCATTTTTGGCAACACCTAGAGAACCAGAAGAATCCATTTTAATCTCCATGAGCTTTCACTGCCTTGCTGCTGTATTAAATATGATGCACAAATGTTCAAAAATGAAGCCATTTTATTGTTTTTATCGAGCAATTATAATTAAGAAAACCAAATATCCCTTTTCCCTTAGGAGGATAGAAAAAATATTTGTAAAGTAATAGATTATAACCACTATGATAATTTTTCAAATACCAGGGGCATTCACTAAGGGTGTCAAATCAACCCAGGCCACCTTTCATTTTCTATTTAAAAAGAATAATTTGACACAACATTGTAAAATGACTATAACTCAATAGGAAAATGTAAAAAAAAATAAAAATAAATTAAAAAGAATAACCACACACCTCTTTTCTTTTCTTTGCAGCCGTGTATAAGAGAGTCTGGGCTGCTGTGGTGGGAGAAGCATAATCTTCGAAAATATCTAAGATTTCAAGGGTTTAAACCATGTTAGTAAAAATACAATTACTTACTATAGCTTTTAAACCTGATTGATCACTATTCCAAAACCAAGAAGTAAAACAATCCACAGGTAACACTGGTTCACAGCATAAAAAAGCTGAGGTTATGCCATCTGTGCTCTCATGCACAACAATATTTAGCAAACTCTATAGGTTGTCCCTTTAAACAATCATATTAAAGAAAACAATGCATATGAGGCATATCTGTTTCACCGTGGACAGGAAAAGTACTTTATCAAAAAAAAGTCCACAGAAATTTATTTAGTGTTTACTATGTGCCAGGCACTGTTCTAGGCTCTGGGAACACAAATATGAAATAAAAAAGGTTCTCATGGAACTTACAATAGTAAGAGAAAGAAACAGATTATACACATACACACAAATGGTATTATAGCTGAAAACACTGCATCTCAGAGAGGTTAAGTAACTTGCCCACTGTCACACAGCGAGTAAGTGACCAAGCTAGCATTCATATCTAGGCTGTCTTAATATCAAAGCCTGAGCTCCTTCAGTTTTTACCAAATCTAAAAACATCATTACTAATATCAGTCAATACATTTAGAAGGAGCATTTTGTTCTTATAAATAACTGCATATGACAAAAATATAAAACGAAAAGTAATACCATAATGGTTCTCCCCAATAATTGTCTAAAAGTAAAATCCACGTATCAAATAACAGTCACTGCATTCTAGTCCACAGAAGGAAATGATTAAGGAAAAAAGGTACTTCAGTGAGCCTTGAATTATCCAGTCTCCTTTAAACAATAAAATGTAAATTCTATCAATCAACACCTACACTATTAACTACTTTATTTTCTAAAAAATGAGATATTTTCTTACTTGATATGAAGATGAGTGAAATAATGGTAACTTTCTGGAAGCTGCACAAATACACTGCACATTATAAAAACTTACAGGTACCACAGGAAAGCTAAACACTGAAAGAATGCCTTAAAGATAGAAGAGTGGCTAGTCATTCCGCTCTATCAAAGCAAACCAGGAAAACAAAAGCATTAGGAAGGGGAGTTAGTAAGTCAGGCATATGTTTAGTGACTTTCAAAAAGAAACGGTAGAACGGAGGGATACAGCAGTGGTAAACACTGTTTCTCATTCACTAGCTTTTTCTGTGCTTTGTCACCAAGGGAAGAGGCACTTCCTCCCTTACTGAATCAAATAATACCAAACACCAAGCATTGTGAAAACAACATAACCCAATAATCTAGCATCTCTACCAGTAGGCTTAACTCAAGGAACTAGAGACACGTGGCCTGACAAAGGGAAGGCACTTCGGCGTGCCCTGGACAGAGCTAGTCTTGTCAACTATTGATTTCAGTATTCACGGAAGGCAGGCTAGAGCCACAAACTTGCAGAGGAACGCAGGGACGTGGAAGAGATGGAGAATGCAAAATAAAGCAAGCAAGATGAAGTCTCTGCCCTTACGTAGCTTCCTTGCTGTGGAAGAAACAGAGGTACACAAATAACATCTTGCTGCGCTAAGTTCCACGAAGTGATGAAATTCAAAAGGGATAAAAGGGATATGAACTTGAACGACCCACACAATTCAACAGCTTCCAGGAAGATCCACAGCTAACAGACCCCCACAGAACTGGGCCACACAAGTGGGGTCACCGTAGGTAATTTCAGTCCCCTGTGGAATACTCAGCCCCTAGGATAAGGAGGCAAACTGAACTGAGGCCCCTAAAATATGCAGAAATCGAAAGGATCTCCCAGACAGAGAACAATTCAATCCACAAATGGGCACCCAAAAGGCTCCGAAAAGAATGGTCCCTACAGACAAGCATCACCACGGAAAGTTACAGACTCGCCATGACTGCTTCCGCACCCACGAGAGGGATGCACAGAGCAGCGATTCACCTCCCACAACAAAGGCCTCAAGTCTGCTGGTCCAACAGGACATCGAACTCTCAGGAGCTTCAGAGTTTACCACGCAAAGCAGAACTTCAGGAATTTAATAAATGAAATCTGCTCAAAAATAGAAATTCAGTTCTATTACTTTACGTATCCGGGAACTGACGAGGAATAAAATCATCTCGATTACCAAATTTCATCCGTATATACTCGTACGGGTCCTCCTGCCACAGCTCTTCGTCCTCATCTTTGTAGCACATCACAGAAAATATCACATCTTCAGAGATATTCTAAGGAGAGAAAAAAAGCAAAACAACAAGTGGGTGTCGAGCATCTGCATTTGGGCAACAGCAATAAGAAAGCCTTCATGAAGTTAGTTTTCCGAACTGTCACATTCATCCTCCTGTTAGGCCTGTGCTGGCCAGAGTGAAAGCGGGAAAGTGAGAGCCTGGACGGCGGGGGGTGGGGGCATGGGTGTAGCGTTAAACATAAAATTATTTTAAAATAACAATTGATTGAAGGTATATGGAAAGAGCTGGATGGAGACACTATTCTTTGAAGCAACAGCAGGAATAATAGAGTTTTACTATCAACATGGAAAACACTTAAACATACCGTGATTCTTTAAGGAAGAGAAATGAACATCAAACCAAGGTTGTCTTTACTAATATATTACTTATTGTGAACATTTTTACATTTCCATTTTGATCCAAGATGTTGATGCTTCAACAATATTAAAATTTTATTCTCCTTTTTCCATTTTCAAAAACTTAACTTCCTACCATACAAATGCAGGTTTCATGGGGGGGGGGATCACATTTAATCACCTCTACGTACATTACCGCTAACGCTCTACTAAGCCCTTCTGTGTTCTGATCGTTATGTATGTAAAAGCAAAATCATCTCCTATCACTTCTTCCAAAGTAAGCAATTCTAAAGGAAAAAAATTCAGCCCTAATAATCAGGAGCTTTCTTATTCCTGCATCACAGCGATGTAAAAATAAGGCTGAAGGCATCGAGCAGGGGAAAAAAATGCTATCACAACTCATCCTTACTTTACAGGAACACAGTAAATAAGATGAAATCTGTATCTTTATTAATTACAAAGAAGCAGTCACTATTCAATCAAGGGGATTTGACAGATATTATTATGATATCACAGAGAACAATGCAAAAAATACAGTATTTGTGAGACCTATAGTAAGAGAACACTAAACAAATTCTATCCTGGACACAAAAGACAAAGCCAGAAGAATTTGTTTTACCTTTTAATAGTCTTAGAGACAGAGAATTTAAGAATTCATAGTCTGAAAGGAAAAAAATTCAGTTCCTAACATCTTTGACTTACCCAAAATTTTAGGTATTTAAATAAGAATTAATTTATTAATGGTCCATAATTTTTCATTCTCATTTATTCTTTAATTAAACAACCATGCTGAATTCTACCTTTAAGTAAACAATTGATATAAAAATGGAAACCTTTAGCTTCTGCGGCAGAACTTAACGATCCAAAATGAGAAATAACAGCCTTGTTTGCTCATAACTGCAAAAGAAAGCAGTCACATATCAGGCTTCAGTTCCTGGAAACAACACTAGCTCGGTAGAGTCCTGGAGACTGTTCCCAAATGCTATCACACAAAATGCCTCATCTGATTCTAGCCACCTTTGGGTAAGAAGGGTAGAAAAATGTTATCTGACTTAACAGAGGAGAAGCTGAGGGTAAATGAAATTTCAAGCAAAATCAGCTAAATCCAAGTCTTCCAACTCATAAAACTTGAAGGCCTCCCTCTTCTCAAATACTTACACTTCCGAGCCCTGATCACATATAAGACCGTGCTCCTTTGAAATTATTAATGGAAACAAAAACACATCCAAAATAAAACAAGGGATTAATGACATTTACTTTGTCTAGAAAAGTTAATTTAATGAGAGAAGAATTTTGGAGAGCTGTTCCCTGACACTAACCTGTATGTGAGGCTTCATCTGCTTCCAGGTCACAGAGTGAACAATCCCTTGGTTGAGATAGTTAAATGCTTGCTGAAGCACACGGGGAGCTACATACTCTTTCTGCCTAAATTGGTCTAAAATCTTTAGCAGTACCTACAGGAAAACAGGGAGAGAAAACACAGGAGAACATAAATAATTTTAAGGTTAAGGGGAGGGGCATTTTAGGCACAACATAAACCCATAATCCACTGAGATCAAAATGAACAGATTTTTTGAGAAATGAATATTTCGTGAGAAGCCACACGGGCTGTTTTAATTCTTAGGTAGGTCCTTGTTATATTGAACCGAAGAATGTCTCACTGTGATTTCCAGCCATCTATCCTACATCTAACTGGCAGAACGACTCAAAATAAGTCTCACTCTCTTCCGCATACGAGCTCATCAAATAAATTAAGACTTCTGTCAAAAGAAATTATAACAGACTTGACTGAATGAACACTGAAAACATCCATACAAGCAGGAGACACTGTAAACAGATTTTAATATTGGATCAAGGTGCATTTCAACTGGAAGAGAATAAGTTATCCAAAAAATAATACTGGGACAACTGATTAACCCTCTGAAAAAAATTCGGTTGGCTCCCTAACTAAACTTTGTACCAAAATAATATTCCCCACATGGGGGAATATTTCAACAATAAAAAATGAAACCATAGAAAAACTTTGAAAAAAAAAGTAGAAAAATTTTATTTTATAATCTCAGACTATGGAAAGTCTTTGTAAAAATAATACAAACTGAGGAGTTATTTTTTTTTAATTGATTTTTTTTAAGTTGTTCATAAGGAAGGAACCATGCCCAAAGCAGCTGTGACTGGCCCAAGGACCCTCAGTCAGAGGCAGCATAACAAAGTCCACCTCCTCCAGTTCCTGGTCTCCAGAGCCCCTCACTACAGCAAGCTTCTAACTGAACTGCTGAATAAATAAGAAGGGTTCTTTCAAAACATGAGCAGAATTTATAAATTCTAAACATGAAGTCAGTTCAAGTTACATAAAATTCAGGTTTATGGAATTCATTCTCATATTCTTCTTCACCATAAGTTACTACAAGATATTGAATATAGTTTCCTGTGCTGTACAGTATAAACTTGTTGTTTATCTATTTTATATATATTAGTCAGTATCTACAAATCTCGAACTCCCAGTTTATCCCTTCCCACTCCCTTCCCCTACTGGTAACCGGAAGTTTGTTTTCTACGTATTTGAGTCTGCTTCTGTTTTGTAAATAAGTTCATTTATCTAAGTCTTCTGATATAAAAGCTTAGAACAAAGAGGTGAGGTTCAAAGAAACTGAGGATAAGAAACTCATACGAGGCAGAGAGATCACAGAAGAACCCAGTCTAGCACTGGTGACTGCTACACAAGTACCAATAAACTTGAGAGGTCTGAGCCTGGGTCTAGGAAGGGATCTTGGAAGGGTGGTTCTTGTGGTAAGCACCCTGAACCTGAACTAGGTCGACCGCAGTTGTGTTTCACTTGGACACTTTGCTTGCATTACTATGGCATTTGCATCTCAGTCCTGGATGAAAGATGGAATTCACAGGGGTTCACAAGGGTTGCAGAGAGACTCCGTTCCTAGACTGTCTCCCACAGCAACAGTGCCAAGTACGCCCTGGGACATGTGGTTCTAACCCTGACGACACTCTGTAAGACTCCCAGAGCTGCCACCTCATCCCTTATAAATATGTAACGAATTAATTAATATGCTTGCAACCTACTTTTAAATGGACAGAAATGACTTAAACTACTTTCAGTAGTAACCATCCTTCTACTTAAAAAGTTATAAGTTTATTACCTGCTGAATTCCCACCGCGTAAGTTTTCAAAAAGAATTCAGAAAATTCAAAGTATTCTTTTGTGACATTTCCTGGGCTTCCATATCTTAAAATACAAAGAGAAAATGTTTAAATACTGTGAATTTTAAAAGCAAACTATGCTCACAGGTTTAAATACTTGTTGAAAGATGCATTCTTTGGGCACAGAAAACTAACACTTTCCCTTTTTTCCACAAGCCCCAAATTGAAATCATGATAAGATGTACTCAAGACTCTGGACCATACTTAAAATTTCAGGCAGAAATGTCATTTCTCCATTCTTTTCACAGAAGAATAGAATGATCCAGAGAAGACTGTCTACTTCATTATGATCACAGTGAAGCCTGCTTTAAAACAGAGGGTGACTTTTTGACCTCTGTGGCTCTAAAGAAAAATAATCATATACAGCAGAACATCAAGGGACCTACTTGATTTTCTTATATCCAACACTTAGATACTAACCACAGATTGTAAATCTAATAAACAGAATTACCGCTCAAAGAGACGAGCTACAATGTGTAGCGCCCACTTCTTACACTTCCACCAGACCAGCTCAGGTCTGTCGTCCTCATCAATTTGTAGAGTCTCCTAGGAAGACAAAAGCACCCAGATAAAATTCTCACACGATGAAAGAGGCTTTTGTGACTAACAAAGGTGGAATAGATGCTGATATAAATTAGGTAAGATTAAATGTGAATTTCAGACTGCCACACATATGCAAATTCCTACTTTGCAGACTGCTAGGCAGCAGTTAAATGAGCAGGCAAATTTCAACTAACCAATGCCGTTGTTCACACTTACCTCCTAACTTCAAAAGGGCCAAATAAGTAGAGAACAAAATACAAAACACCATATCCTTTGAGGAAACTCTCTGGGATGACAGAAAAGATCTATATCGTGACCGGGGTCACAGGAACACCAGCGTGTGTTTGTCAAAATCCAGGGAACCGCTAAGTTCTGTGCATTTATGTGCATGAAGTGAACTTCAACATAGTTTGTCCCAAGATATGGACAAAGGAAAGAAGACTGCACGTTTGAAGACAAGCTTCAATTTTAAATATCTGATGTATTTTCATTTAGTTAATTCGATTAGTTATTGAGTTAATTTGATAGATGAAATACAGTGTCACTGTTATTGCAGATAAAAATGAGACACTATCTTTTACCTATCAAACTGGCCAACTTAGAATTTAACATAAGACATTCTCAGTCACTGCTTACTAAGGTGTAAGCCAGGGCACTGTTTCTGGAGAGCAGTTTGCGAGATCTGTCAAAGCCTTGCACAGGAAATTATACCCATTACTTTGTAATAACTGTAAATGGGGTATAATCTATAAGAACACTGAATCACTATGCAGCACATCTGTAACTAATAAAATATTGGAAATCAACTACACCAATTAATTAATTAATTAAAGACCTGTCAAAGCCTTACACACACTGCTAGGAGGTTATCCAAAGAAAATAATCATGTGCATAAAAATTTAACTACATTCTTATAGCTAAAATACACAAAACTTATAACAACTTAAATATCCAACAAATGAAGTAGTCAACAAAAATGAGAGAATATAAAAAGCATTTGTAGTCACTAAAAATACTTAGATTTTAAGGGGAAAATCAGTTTCTAGATAGTACTATCTCTGCCATTTTTACAAACAAAATATGGTTGTTCCTCCTGACAGATTTCATTAATGCTCCTTTTTCTGCAAACCCTTTAAAACCACTTTTTAATAAGATTATGTCAGCATACCTTTTTAAATCACTTCTTCCTATAAAGATTTCCTAGTATTTCTTGTATAAAGAAAAAAACATGGTTGTATATAAACACAGAGAAAAAAGACAAGAGGAATAAATACTAAGTTTTAAAAATGCTTATCATTTTTACTAGGATGAAATATAGTTATTATTGTATTAAGTTTGCTTATATGAATTTTCTAAAAATGAATATATTTGATTAATTATCTTTATTACAGTCATAATTTTTTTTTTCCCAAGTAGCAGGCTGGGATAATACATCAGTCTACTGCAAATGTCCCAAACCCAAGTTTTCCCCATTCTTAGGAACAGAAGCCCTTTCTTACAGGAGGAACAGTTCTGTCAATAATAGTTCGGAAGATCTCCATCCATGCTGTCATGGTCTGGTTATTGACCAGCTGAAGAGGCAATGCGTACTGAAAATAAAAGAATAACAATATCAGACAATAATTTCTCCCTTCCAAAAACTCAGTAAATTTATCTACATTGAAAAGTTGAAATATATGAAATGGCTAACATTTGACCATGAAAATAGTAATATCAGATGGTTCAACCTAAACTCTAACTTAAAACAGGTCTATAAGCCTATGTATATAAATTAAATGTTTAAAACCTAGACATACATGCCACAAATTATTTCTCTGGGCTGATTTTTTTAAGTAAAAATAATAATAATAATACAGTAAGGAATCATTTATTCAGCAGAAGACTCTAGATAAGCAATTTTTTTTATCATTTACCCCTTTGTGTGTCAAACTCTACATTTTGCCAGCTTTATTGAGATATAATTGCTCTATACCATTATGTAAGGTTAATGTATACATGATGATTTCATACACATTATGAAATTATTATGATAAGGTAACATATTACCTCATATAATTATCTTTATTCAAGGTATAGTTCATTTACAATATTATATTAGTTTCAGGTGTACAACATAGCAATTTAATATTTTTACAGGTTATATTCCATTTAAAGTTATTACAAAATAGCTAATTTCCCTGTGCTGTACAATGTATCTTTTACTTATTTATTTCATACATAGTAGTATCTTTTAATCCCATACCCCTACCTTGACCTTCCCCTCTTCCTTCTCCCAACTGTTAACCACTAGTTTGTTCTCTATATCCATGAATCTATTTCTGTTTTGTTATATATATTCGTTTTATTTTTTTAGATTCCACATATAAGTAATAATACAGAGTATTTGTCTTTCTCTGTCTGACTTACTTCACTAACACTCTAGGTTCATCTACTGCTGCAAATGGCAGGTTTTCATTTTTATGACTGAGTAATATTCCGTTGTATATATATACTACATCTTCTTTCTTCATTCATCTATTGACAGGCACTTAGGTTGCCTCCAGGTCTTGGTTATTGTAAATAACACTGTTATTAACACTGGGGTGCATGTATCTTTTCAATTTAGTATTTTTGTTTTTCCAGAATATATCCAGCAGTGTAATTGCTGGATCATATGGCAGTTCTTTTTTTAGTTTTTTTGAGAAATCTCCATACTGTTTTCCATAGTGGTTGCACCAACTTACTTTTCCACCAACAGTGTATAACAGTTCCCTTTTCTCTGCATCCTCACCAGCATTTACTGTTTGTAGACTTTTTGATGATAGCCATCCCTGGCAGGTGTGTGGTGATAATCTCATTGTGGTTTTGATTTGCATTTCTCTGATAATTAGTGATGTTGATTGGGCATTTTTTCATGTGCCTGTTGGCCATCTGTACATCGTCTTTTGGAAAAATGTCTATTCACATCTTCTGCCCATTTTTTAACTGGGTTGTTTGTTTTTTAGATATTGACTTGTATGAGCTGTTTATATACTTTGCATATTAACCCCTCATCTGTTATATCATTCGCAAATATTTTCTCCCATTTAGTAGGTTCCTTTTTTGTTTTGCCAATGGTTCCCTTGTTTGTCTAAAAGCTTTTAAGGTTAATTAAATCCCATTTGTTTATTTTTGCTTTTATTTCCTTGTCTTAAGGAGACAGATCCAAAAAAATACTGCTATGATCTATGTCACAGAGTGTTCTGCTTATTTTCCTAGGAGTTTTATGGTTTCTGGTCTTACATTGAGGTCTTTAATCCATTTTGAGTTTATTTTTGTATACGGTGTGAGGAAATGCTCTCATCTCATTTGTTCACATGCAGCTGTCCAGTTTTCCCAGCACCACTTATCAAAGAGACTGTCTTTTCTCCATTGTATATTCTTGCTTCCTTTGTCGAAGATTAATTGACCGTAAGTGTGTGGGTTTATTTCTGGACTCTCTATTGTGTTCCATTGATGTATGTGCCTGTTTTTGTGCCAGCACCATACTGTTTTAATTACTAAAGCTTTGTAGTATAGTCTGAAGTCAGGGAGCATGATGCCTCTAGCTTTGTTCTTTTTTCTCTAGACTGCTTTGGCAATCCAGGGTCTTTTGTGGTTCCATGTAAATTTTAGGATTATTTGTTCTAGCTCTGTGAAAAATGTCATTTGTATTTTGATAGGGATTGCATTAAATCTACAGACTGCTTTGGGCAATATGGACATTTTAACAATATTAACTCTTCCAATCCAAGAACATGGGCTATCTTTCCATTTCTTTGTATTGCTTTCAAATCGCTTCATCAGTGTTTTACAGTTTTCAGAGTATGTGTCTTTCACCTCCTTGGTTAAGTTTATTCCTATATATTTTATTCTTTGGATGCAATTGTAAATGGGACTGTTTCCTTAATTTCTCTTTTCATCATTATCTTTTTTTGTGGTGGGAACTCCTTTTAATGCCTTTAATGAAAATCTCTACTTCATGAAACACTCAAGAAACATTTCTTCCCAGTACTTTCCTCTACACTGTGGCATGATATCACAGTCCACTATATCACACAGTGTGCGATTCCACCCCACACTACACCGTGAGCTACGGGAGATGAGGCACAGTGCCTCTGCATCCCTGCATTCCAAAACCTGCTACATGCTGAGGACATAATGAAAGTAAGAGACATAGTCCCTGTCTTCACAAAGCCTACACTCTAGCTGGGGAAAACACACATTTAAACAAGGAATTACAATATGGTGTGATGAACAGTACAAATAAAAGCAGCACCGTGTTGATAAAGGTACCCAGGAGGACCACCTAATACAGCCTGGTAATATCAGAGACAACTTCCCGGACGAAGTGTTATGCAAGCCAAGTCCTAGAGAAAGAGCACACAGCGACCAGGGCATAAAGGGGAAGGAGAGTCTCAGGTTGAAACACGGGACCATCAAGGCTTTCCTGCATGACTGATGTGTAAACTACAAAGCTAAGTATGGCATAAGAAGAGGCGGGAGACGAAGGTTCTATAGCCCATGCGAAGAAGTTCACACTTTGTTCTAAGGGTGGTGGGGAGTCAGTCAGCCTTAAGCTGGGGAACAGAGGAGGAGCAGACTCGGGGCTAGGAGAAAGTGACAATCAGTTTATTTTTGGACAAAACAGTTCTGAAGTATGTATGGAACGTTCAAGTGCCCTGTACACAATAAATATCTAATAAATGCCTAGACAAAGTCAATTACAGCATACTTTTCAAAACATACATTTTTCTGCCTCTTCCCAAATTGTCAGTCACTTTTACTTACATTATCACTGTATCTGTGCCTCTTAAAACCTCAATTTCTGCTTCCAGGACTCCCAGCTGAAGAGTATTACTACAGTAGCATATAATTACCAAAATGGTCTAAAATGTCGAGGGTTTTTTCACTGTTTTTTTCAGGCTTTTAATACATGTTGAGAAAACAAAAAATTTTAGATTTTGCCCCCTTAGCAAATCAAGGTAGAGGCTTTAGGAAGACTGTTTCATCAGCCTCTGTTTAACTTCCTGATTCCTGGCTATGCTTCTCACAATGGAAGAGAAAGTCTGGCCTCTGAATAAATGAGGCATTACTACACCCAATGGCAAAATATCTCACTGAATAAAAAATGTTTGCGTCAAAGTGATTCTCCTGAGGAAGACGTCTGAACAGAAAAACAAAAACACATCTTTTCTTGGATGTGCTTCCTTCCTGCTTCCCCATCTCCCAAAAAAGGCTGAACTGAAAAAAATAAAGTCTTCCTTGGACTGTCACTACTAAAAGTTTAAAAGATGAGGCTAAAAATATAAATCTTTATTGAAGTGAAATATTCTGAAAGTACAAAGTACAAAGGTACTTAGGACAGATGGAAGCCAAGAACAAACCAGACAATTGTGGCTCCCTAGCTTGACAAAACTACCCTCTTGCCATGAAGAATTTAACTGGAAAGCAAGAAATGGGGCTTTAATTCATTTATCATCAAAGAGTTTAAACTGACAACAATTATTCTTTCTTCACCCCGGGCTAAATAATTTACCCAAGCCTTTCAAGGATTAAATTTTAAATATTTGTAAATTTAAAAATTCCATCTATATCTTCTCTAATTATTTTTTAGATTTCCATATTAATGTCCTTTATAGCTTTCAGATAATAAGAAGTATTTTAAATAAAGGTAAATGAGGCACTGAATCTTAGTTTTCAGCTTTAAACTGGATCAAATGCAAAGAAACTACCATCAGTTTAATTAATTACCCAATCAAAAAAGGAACTCCCTTCTTTTCCATCCTCCTCTCCTTAATCGTACCTCATCTACAGGCAGAGTGCTGTGGAAACATTAGTCAGATCATGAGGTTTTAGGGCAGTTAACTACCCCGTTTCTTCCATACCAGGCTTCAGACAGTGGAGCGGCCTGTGGACACTGAAGCTCAGCCCTGCCACTTCAGTAACCTGACAGTTAGGCTGACTTCTGTTAGCCTGATCTCTCATAAGGAGTTTTTAGAAGAAATATATGTGAGATTATATAACATGTGATTTTTAACAATGACTGACACTTACCTCTGAATACTTTCTATGTGTCAGGCAGAGATACAAGCCACCCTGTTTGTCTTGTGCTATAGAAACTTACCTGAACAAGTGCATAGAAGATTTTCAGAATCTGTTTCTGTAGTAATACAGAATAATGTGAGGAATCAGGAAGAAGCTGCATGATTTGTTGCTGAATACGAGGCAGAAATATTTGCATTGCTGCTATAAGAGGTTCTCTTTCCTCTGCTTTCTTATATCTATGTGAGCAAAGACAAAAAGAGAGAAAAATAATTTCTGCCCCACAAAACAGCTTAAACAGTGACTGAAAAATCTATTTTTTATACTAAAATGATAACATTCTAAACACTGGCTTACATTTTCTGTTTGGACTGTGAGAATACAGTTGAAAGAAACTTTGAAAGAGCATATCCATGTTTTAAGCAGAATACCTAAAATCTTTCTACAAAGACTTAGACTAGTTTAAAAGAATCCAAGGCAGTTTTGCAATTTTCCTACATGAATTTCTCTAGTACTTAAATTAATCTTCATCACACCGCAATCCTTCCTATAAAATACAAGTTGATACGCCAGTTTATATAGTTCCTACTATATAATAAATAACGCAGGAAAAAAATTTCTTCATCTACTAGCCTACATTTTAGAATAGTTTACAAAGTTATGAGCTCTCAGATCACTTTAATAAGTCTGTAACAGTCTCTAAAAATTATTTTTAAAAGAATGCTACAGGACTTTGCATGCAGGAGAAGGAGTACCCTTAGAAACTAAAAAAACAATGCTATTAAATGTGACACTAGTCCCACACCCCCCAAGCAACTTGTATGGAAAAGAAAGTCACTAGCAAAGAAACGTGAACACTTTCTGTCTTGCACCCAAAAGGCAAGTGTTTGGTTTACTTAATGTGCTCACTTGAAGACAAATGTTAAGGTACCTCTACAACAGTTTCCAAGGCAAGCTGTTAATAAATGGTCCTCTGAAACTAACAAACTAATAAGTTTGAGAAACACTGCAGATCATATCAGTGCCTTGGAGATTCATAATGTACATTAGCAGATTCAAGATTCTCTGAAAAACTGTAGTAAATAAACATGTTTAACTAAGTATAACCAAACATTTCCCAGACTAGTCTGATTCTGTAACACCCATAGCAGATCCCTCTATGCAATGTAATTTTTTCTAAGTAACATGAGACTGGTATCTTCAGCCAGTAGAAATCAACTTACTCATATGTCTTCACCAGTTGATACAGACATAATAAACTGCCAAGCCAGCTTCCACTGCTCTGTGACTGCAAGTAATAGTCTATCTTGTCCACTACCGCTGGCCAGTGACCAGGGAAATCGTATTTAATGATGGCACGGAGACACATTGTTAACTGGACTCTATAAAGTGGGGGAAAGAAGTCCAAAATCTAAGTAGTTATAAACACCAGGTTTCAAAGACCTCCAATATTTTACACAAAAGCACTCTGATTCCTATTTATCTACATTATATAGTTATTTATCTGGGGGCGGGGAGGGAAGAGCAGTCCTATAAAGAAAAACCTCCTCAGCAGCTCAAACTTACTGGAAACAAACAAAATGGGTAATTGCCAAAAATAAATGAAACCTCTCAAATGGTCTTATGCTAAATAAAGCTTTGTTTTTAAAAAAAAAAAGAATTTAAACATAAATTCATAAAATTAAAAAAAAAAAAAGACAATGAATCCACCCCCAGCTCTATAAAATTTCCCAACTTGCTGTATTTTGTATTTTGGTTATCACATGCTAAGGAGGACAGAAAACCAAAAGAAGTATTTTAGTAATTTCAACTGGACCAACTTAGCCTAAAAATGGTCAAAAAAAAGTAAAATGGAGGCATACAAAACACCAGGAAGTGCCTCTGTGAGCCAAAGGCTTGAACCATTTTGCACCTATCAAAGCTTCCTGAGATCCTAATTTTTGTACTTCGAGGTATAAGGAACAAGCATTAATTGGCAATTCCTGAAGAGGAAAGCTAAGAGCTATTTCCAAAGAAACAAAGAAAAGAGCAACAGGAAAGACTACAGCAGGAAAAAAAAAAAAGAAAGAAAAAGAAATGCCTTTAATAAAACCACAAAGTTAAGTGATAAAAGATATGATCTCATAACACCTAGGTCTGTAATAATTTCCTCAACTGGATCCCAACTATATTGGGAGAGAATATTAAGTGAGGGAAAAAAAGTTGCCTCTTCTATGAACTATCAGTGTATCCTGACATGGTCACCTGCCAGTGGTTAGAAAGTGAATCTTGCTAAATTAGGATTCCACAGTGCCAAAAAAAAAAAAAAGCATGTGTCAATTAAACAATCAATAACTTAAATTCACTGAAATGAAACAAACTTAAAAATAATGCCTGGTGTGGTTGGGGGGTGGGGGAGGGTATAGCTCAAGCGGCAGAGCACATGCTTAGCACGCATGAGGTCCTGGGTTTAATCCCCAGTACTTCCTCCAAATACAAATAAATAAACCCAATTCCCCACCCCATAAAGAAAAAAAGAGGAAAAAAAAAATAATGCCTTTTCCTATGTTACCAAATCTATTTGCAAAAGATCCTTTGCAATACTCTTAAATAAGTTTCGAGAATATTTCTTCAAGAGTGGTTACAGTTAAGCCTTCAGGACATAAAAGGAACAAAGCCACAAAGAACTGCCTCATAATAAAGATAAAGACAGAGATCTTGTGCCACCAGCAGCTGTGCCTAAACAACACATAGGTCTTATTTGTATTCAATAAAACTGAAGCTTTTCATTTTTTTTAATTCATCTTCAGGTTGACCCTCTTAATCCTTTCCCATTCCAAGCCAAGCAAAGGATGACTATCAAAAGACATTGCTTTGCTTGCAAGATTCAGAGGGATCTGAAAATGTAAAGATTTTGACAAGAAATGGATACATGATGGTACCAGAGGGAAGCCAGTGGCAGACTGGCATCTGGGCAACCAAAGAGAATAATGACGATTTTCTTTCATCAGTACACCTGTTTTCTCCTCTTTGCAAAACAGCTGCACAAACAGTTCAATGTTTGTCCTCCTTCCTCTCTGTTCCCCTCATACCCTTCCCTTTCTACTGCTTATGTCACATAGACATTGTACACTCAGGGATAAACTTATACCCAGTCTCTTGAAGTTAAACAATTTCATTCTCCTACCTTAGTTTCATCTACTCCCCTCCTCCACTTTCAAAAGAAACCTGATCACTTGCTCATGTTGAAAAAAAATGTGTTTCTCCTATTTTAAGACTGCAGAATTTTTATGACTCTCCAGCTGTGCGGTCCAATAGAGACAGGTGCACACTGGAATTTAACCAAAATAAAAGTAAAAATTCAACTCCTCAGTCACAATCGCCACATCTCAAGTACTCAATAGCCATCTATGCCACGTGGCTACATGCTGGACAATGCTGATTTAGAAGATAGCTGTCACTGCAGAAAGTTATATTGGACACTGCTGCTCCACAGTGTCCAATCTAAATTTGAAAAACCAGGGACAGCTCTTCTAGTTTATACTTACTCTATCCTGTCTTCTTCAAAGGAAAAAATGCTCAGCTCATAAAAATGAATAAAACGATAGGTAAAGTGTTACGAAAAGTGGTAGATTAAAAACTCCCAGAAGTCAATTTCCCTGTACCAGGGAAATGAAAAGCAGATAGTAAAAAGTCAGGAGATGGTAACCAAGAACATAAGTTATTTACGTAGCAGGGGTTTACACAACAATTTTAGTTAAGTTATGATTTTTGCTTTAACTTTTTGTGGCAACCAATAGCAACTAAATCTTTTCCAAAACATTTTGAGGCAAAGAATTACAAATGCAAAAACAAATAGCTAAAACTGTATTCTTTGAGTGCCCACCTTCCTTACTTTATCTCATTAAAAAAAACCAAACTTGAGGCTAATGATTAAATCCAACCTCCCATAACCATATATTTTGTGCTTCTGACTTATCACGTAGATACAGTATAGTGTACCTCACTAGATCTGGAGATCGAATTATTCCTTCCACAATATTATCACGTATTTGCTGGCGATCGTTTTCATGAATGTTGAATGGAAATATTGCTTCTCCCGGTGGAGGTTCCCGGTCCGGCCAGTACTGTGTCACCATATTCTTCAAGTAAATGGCAGCTAAGTTAGAGGAAAAAATGCTGATTGTAGCAGTATTGAAAAGACGGCTTTCATGTGGCTTTACAGAGCATGAAAGACTAAACCCTTCAATGCCAAAGAGGATACCCAGCAAAAATGGAAAGTTTTAGTTATAAATAGCCAAGTGAAGAAGGGAAAATGGATGAGAACTTAAAGTTTCTCTTCAGCTAATGAAGAAGCAAGTCTAAGCAGAAAATGTTTCATTAAATCCAGCTCCAGAGTTTACAGGACAGAAAAATGGTCTAGGAACTCAAGTATGCATTGTTAGACCAAACACAATGAATGAATGAAGAGTCTAAATGAAACTCTACTAAATGTACTTTGAGATCTTAAAACAAATGCTGTTCGTAATGCCTAATACTGAACTGTTAACAGGTGAATTTCTACTGTCCTTCATGCAGACTGCCTGTTTTGTTTTTCTTTCACTGGCTACTATACTGACTATCATTTTGAAATTTTTATCTAACCCTTTTGAAATATTTACCACTTCTAAATATAAATAATAGGGGAAAGACATCAGTCTTCAAATATTCCTGGAAAATCTTGGGAAATTTCTTATCTGTTTCTTTCTATCAAAATACATAGTCAATGATTTTGTTCCTATTCTTTTTAATCATCGTCATTATTTACCAAAAGACTTCTGAAAGAAACAAGCTGACATACTGCTACAGGGTTTTGACAGGGAATGTGAAGCTTTCTAACCATCCCAGCGGGACACTGAATGTAAATACTCATTTATGATGTCAGATTCCTGGGGCATCTTTGTATTTTAGTAATAGATTAAATAGAAAATGTATAAATGGCATCTGAATTTAGGGTAGTTATAATGTAGAACTCTGCACAGTGTATTTCAGACTGTATGATAAAATGGATTCTCTAAAACACACAGGTCCTAATAAATTAGGAAATGATCAACTGCCAAACACACTTTGTCCTATGGCTAACAGATTTGAAATCTACATAAATTATGAAGAAAAAATTGCCTTTAAGTGCTACTTACATTTTATATCAAAACTTAATTACCAAAATTATTAACTTTCAAAGTTGTATAGGGTTGGTGAGGACATGGAGAACGTAGCATTCTAATGTACTGTTAATAGAAAAAGCAAGGAAATGTTCCTTGGTGATAAGATTCAAAATTCTAAATGTTAATATGGTTAATATCACTGACCTAGCATTTCCATTTGTTATAGTTTACTCTGTGAAAATAGTCCCACAAGTATCTAGAGAGAGATGTTCAAGGATGTTCAAATGATTTTTGTATTGCCTTTATCAAGAACAACCAAAGAAAGCGTTACAACTGGTGAACCGGGGGAGGGTGTAGCTCAGTGGTGGAGTGTGTGCTTAGCAAGCATGAGATCCTGGGTTCAATCCTCAGTCCCTCCATTAAAAATAAATAAACTTCAAAAAGAAAAAAAAAAAAGAGCAAATAAAGGGACAATAAAGGAAATGTCCATCAATATCAGATTGCTTAAATAAACGTTGGTAGTTCTCATACAAAAAAATACCGAATAATTGTTACAAAGAATGAAGTATATGTACGTACACTGACAGAACAATCCCCCAAAGGCACGTGGTTAAATGAAAGAAAAAAAAAAAAGAAATTATAACACAGACAGACTTTTGTTACTTTTTAAAACCAGTATATCTACAGAAAAAAAAAAAAAAAGAATTAGGGAACCATGAACCAAAGTTGACAGCAGCTATCTCTGGGGGTGAGATTAAGAGCAATCTAACAGTACAAATTTTGGTTTTCTATACATGTCATATAAAGAAGATATATTAATTCAAAAATTGCTGTAAAAATCTTTAAAAAATACTATATCCACAAAGCTTTACAGGAATTTCACAACAGCCCTATAAACACTTAGGTTATTAAAGCAGGCTCACTTTAGCAAAATGCAGTTTCAAAACAGCACTATTTTATAAAGCAAAGATTAAATTGAGTGTTGTGGTTTCAAAAAACTTACACAGAAGTCTTATAAACCTTATTAAAGTAAAAAATAATTCCAACATTAATGTTTTTCCATGGGTTTTCCTTATTTTAACCACAAAGGAATCATTTAGGAAACATACACATTGCTATAAATATTTTTCCAAAGCTCAGTGATTTCTTACTTTGTTTTCTATTCAAGTAAAACTATACACTTTTATCAGTGTGTTGAGTATAAAATGTCTATAAAATTGTTCATCTATTTTTCTACCTGAACACATGGAAAGACTAATTCCTCTACTGTTAATGATGGTCATTTCTGAGTGATAAATGCCAGGTAATTTTTTTTCCTTTTTTCTTTGTGTTCTCTAGTATTGTCAAAATTATTTATGAATACTTGTCACATAATTTTTTAAATTTCCTTTATTATATATTTTTAAATTAGCTAGTGTCATTTTACCCCCTTTATCCTGAAATTATTCTCTTTTTAGGACTCAAGATGCTCCAAAGCTTTCTCCATTTTTTCACCTTCTGGGTTTTAATGATGAGCTTATAAAAAAAAAAAAAAAGCAAAAAGAAGAACAATACACAACATCAGGGAACTACCCTAAGACTCAAAAGTAAGTTTCATGTTTATAACTACAGTCCTGCTCCCCAGTCACGTGGTTAGGAACACCTGTGTGGTACATTACCTCCGTGATCTGAGGCATGAATGGAGCGGAACTCACATAAACAAGTCCAAGGTCTCAGTCTGTGGGCCCAAAGGCAAGGCCACCAGGAATCATAAACAATTAGGGAGAGAAAGCCATTAAAATTGGGAAAGCTAAGGGGAAAGGTGACAGAGTTACAGAGGTAAGGAATTGTAGCTGGAAAGGAGGGGAGGAAAGCAAAGGCTGGGGAAGATTTAAAGGCTCTAAATTTCCTGGAAAAAAGAGAGGTTTTAAGCTTTTAGAAATACTTCATGTGTGCGTCCAATGTTTTCAAAGAAAGCAGATACTAAGAGTTAAAATAAAATTCTAGTTCTTTTACTCATAAATAAATTTACAAAAGATAGAAAACCAACTCACCTGCCTGGCGTACTGGAAATTCCACGTGATCAGAGACTATAATCCGAAGTAAACTGGGGGCAAAATTGATAATCTTGTAAGACTGAAATTACAAAGAAATGTTTTATAAAAAATAGGGCAATATAAATGAATAACTATTAGCACCTGTTACTGAACACATTACTGTGCAAATAAAATAAAAACGTTTAAAGTGACAGAAACTCTCAGCAAAATAAAGATCACCAAAACACTTCAAGTCAAAAAAATGTATTTAGACTAAACTGATGAGTAAAGGAGTATGAACATTTGTATGGTGGGGTTTTGTTTTGTTTTGGACGTATGTCGTCAAAATGCTTCCCAGAAAGGGTGTAGCAATTTACACTTCCAACAGCAGTATGTGAGTGTGTCCCTCTATCCAGTATAGGGGTTAGCACTATCGTTCCTTCAAAACTTTTAAACTTTATTCATATTTTATTTTACATTTCTTCTACCTTGAATTTTTTCCTGTTTGTTGGCTGTTTTCTTCTACACTATCTTTATTTCTCTTACCCTTTTGTAAACGGAGTATTTGTTTTATTCTTAATAAATTCTAGGAGCTATTTATGAATTTAAAATCTCAACTATTTATTTGACTTATACATGGCAACTGTTTCTTTCCAGCTTATCTGGCCTTCAATTTTGTTTATGGTATTTTTGACAAACAGAAAACAGGAAATCCAACACAGGAAAATGGACAATAGCTGTTCGTGCGCTACAGAGCGGCATCAGTCCAGACTGGACAGCGTGCCGCACAAGGCGGTGTGGAGAGCTGTGGTCACCAGCCGCCCTCTGATGCCGGAGCATCTTTTGAACTTAACGATGCCCAAGTGAGCCCATGCTGATGAAGTGCCTGCTGCTGGGTTGTTTCTCCCTACAGACAAGCTCCACTTTGACCTAATCCTGAGTTTGGCCATGATGACTTTAGAAGCAAAAAAAAAAAGGAAGAGAGGAGAGGGCACAGCCTATTCTTTCTGACCATACTTGGTTGTCTAGTACCTGGACCACATTACAGGCCTGCCACACTCCCAGAGCTTACACTTGGCCTTGCCTGCTGACATTCCCAGAAAAGACTCAAACTCTCAGTGCGGCTAAAGCCAGACAACGATGCAGCGTCTGTTCTGCCTCCCTCCTCCCAGAAGCCAGGACCTATGGTGGCATCCGTTCCGCTACACCGCGAGGTTTCTGCATACCACTCCGTGTTTTAATTTACCACCATTCCTCTTCATTTATTTATAACAGCATTTATTAAGATAAATGGTTGACCAAAAAATTTGGAAAAATGGGCATCTTTAAAATATTGATCCTTTCCATCCAAGAAATTATGCTTTCCAAATCTTTCTATATCCTGTGTAAAATGGTGAATTATTTTATGACTGTTCTTCCTTTCACCCTGTATAAACCTCAAAATCTTAAATTTGTTGTGTATGAAGTAAATTCTTTATCCATAATTGAAACCACCAGAATTTTAAAGTAGTTTTTTAAAATATGGATTTCTTTTAACAGCAGTTTACAGGAGCCAAAATTAGTATAGAACAGGAATTCAATGTACTTCAATTAAAAAATATATATATATATATATATATGAGGGAACTATATTTAATATCTTATAATAACCTATAATGAAAAAGAATCTGAAAACAAATACATAATGTGTATGTATGACTGAAACATTATGCTCTACAGCAGAAATTGACACAACATTGTAAACTAACTATACTTCAGTTGAAAAAAAGAAAGAAATTAATATAGATTTAGCCCAATCTTCTATACCTTCCACATTTACATTATTATAAATAACTCATGTTTATAACTTTTGAGATACTGGAAAATCCTCTAGTGAATCAAACATTAAGACATCTATATAGTTTAGTTCTAATCTACATAGTTTAGTTACTTATTCACCTAAATACAAAATAACCTTTACACTTAGATTAATACTACTTATTTGAAAGCCGTTAGAGTAGGGACTCCTTTTATTTCAACATTGTTGCCAGTGTACACATTTTGGAACTCTCTTTACAACTGGTTGCCATTTCAAAGAACTTATACAACTTTTTGTCTCCTCCTTTCAGTCTTGGTTCAATCAATGTTAATTTGACCAGCTAAAACATTCAGTGGTAAATTCAGATATATTCTCACACTATTTTCCTTATGAATATTTATCCAATTTCCTTTCCACCTTGGGCTTTAAGTTTCTAAGAAAAGAAGAAGAAAAAAAATCTCTCGAATTCTTGAAGATATATACTTAGTGAAGTATTCTGAAAATAAAGAGCTTCCTTGCATAGCTAAATTCTGCACTTTATCAGAACTTCTTTAAAGCAAAGACCCAATGTTTTCTCATTCTCGGCCTCGCTGCTCCCTCGACATTCACTTTTCTTATCCTCCAATGTGCCAAGTTGAGGGCCTTTACTGAACTTGATCTTCCCGCTGTTCCTCTCCCAGTTCTTCATCTGGTTCACTTCATCACAACATCTAAGCCTCTGCTCAGTGTCATTCTTCAGAAAAAGACCACCTACTGATACATCTCAACACAGTCTCTAGGGGTTTAACCCTCCACAGCACTTACGAAATTATATTATTTACTTGTCTTCCACTAGAAGGCAAGCTCTATGAGAGCAGAGTCTTGCACTAGTGCCTGCAAATAACTTGATAAATATATCGTATATGCAAACACTCTTAAAAAGCTAGAAAAGCACAGATTTCAAAGCTTGGCAATGAAAGTAAATATCTTGATTCCCCTACTGAGGCCATGTGGATGGAGAATGATTTGATTTATTCAAAGAAGACACTTTTCTGGATGACTTACTGGAAAGAGACATCTACCCATTCCTACTTCCCCATGCTATTGTTAAAGGGACTTCAAAGCTTAAAGACAATGACAAATGTACACAGGGTGCATTCTTAACATCCTCCGATAAAACTGATAATGCATTTTCTCTGAGAAACAATATCTCATATAGCAGTCAAGGAACCAGTCACTGGAAACAAAAAGATGCTGGCTACAGAAAAAATATAGTTCCAAATAAGAATTTATCCTTTGGACAAATGTTAGCCGCTATATATAGAAATAGATTAAAAAATAAAAATAAAAAAAAAACAATTCTGAAAGAAAAAAAAAATGTATCCTTTGGAACACAGGCTGCTACGTTTTGAAGCTGCCTACTCTTCTAAATGGCAACTGACAAATCAACCAGGACACTGTAGAAACTGTGTTCTACCACTTCCTACTCAGAGGGTATCTGCTAAGGGGGGACCTAGACTAAAATAAATTAACTGGACCCTCATCACTAATGGTAAGATTACCCACCTGCTTATTCAACAAAGAAGGATGTTACAGTATACAAAACTTGTTTTATTATATAACCATGTAACCATTACATATATATTTATTTATATATATATAACCTATATATAAAACATATACATAAAACCTATATATGTAAAACATACAGGGGGGAGGGTATAGCTCAGTGGTAGAGTGTGTGCCTCACATGCATGAGGTCCTGGGTTCAATCCCCAATACCTCCCTCAAAAAGTATAACAAAATAAACCTAATTACCTCCCCCCACCAAAAAAACCTAAAAATAAAAAATATATATATATAAAATCTATATATATATATAACCTGTATATATATAACCTATATATAAAACATATATATATGTATAAACATTATTAAAGGTTATGTGACATACTTTGGTCTTGTACTTACAAGCAATTTAAAAAAATACTTAGAGCATATTACAATCCAAAGTATTATACAGAATATAAATGCTAAATGAGTGACTTAGCAATAAGCTACGTTTAGAAGTTGCAGAGGGATTCGTGCTCTGCGATGAGCTGGGTGGATATGGGGTAGAGCAGAGTGAGGCTGAAATGGATTTGGATTGAAATGCCACAAAGAAAAGGATGTAATTGGGTCCTAACTGTCTCTTCTCGTTCTGCAGGCCTTCCCACCAGCTTTCCCACTCCCATGAAGTCAACTGCGCTTATTTGCTGATGAATCAGAAACAAAGCAAGGGCAGGCTAACAGAGGCAGGGTGGTACAACACGACAGCAATGACATGATCCCTATGGGCACTATCAAAATAACATGCGGCCTCGCTGTGATGAGAAGGGGGTCACAAGCAGGCCACCTCCCCTGTTCATACTACCGGACTGCAAGTTCAGCTCTTGCTTTGTTCCTCGGAACCAACGCCTGGATTACTGCCTTTCCAGCCAAGCAACATACAGTACTTTTACTCTGCAAAGCCTGGGGCAGGTACTGACTTTAACTCTCCCCTGTTCTGAGTAAGAGTCCCTTTCTTTTTGCAGCAGCAATACATTCCCTTTGGGCTGCCGTTCAACTCAATCTGCTCTCCAGAGTCTATGCTTTCCCCTCTCCCTTTCATCTCTTGGGAATCCTGGATTCACACTTACTTTGCCCATTAAAATAATTCCTTTCAAGGGTTCACAACGCAGATCTGCACCTTACAGTCAGCTCCAACCAGGGAAAACCTAAATGGATTCCTACGGGAACGTTTGCTTAGGACAGTTTTCTCACACTTTAAGAAGCACAGAATCACCTGGCTAACTAATTACAACATAACTGGGCCCCATCCCCACAGTTTCTAATTCTTTAAGTCTAGAGGGAAGCCCCATAATTTGCATTTCCAACACGTTCCCAAATGGGGTTCACGCTGCTCACCCCGGTCAACACTTGGAGAACCACTAATTTAGGAATATTCCTTTACATTTTAAGGACTACTGCAACCTCAAACAGCTGTCACTCTATCGTACTTTCTTTTGTGAAAGGTCTACGATTCATTCTTACAGGTGCGGAGGAAAACAGAAGCTTGAGTTTGGGATCATTAAATTTGGAAACGTGAGTGGTATCGCGGGAACAAGGTCGAGGCTAGTTAGTAAGGACAGAGGATTGGGGGGGGGCGGTAAAAGAAAGTCCTCCACCTTTTACCGTTTATGAGAAATCCCTACAGACACTGACTACTCGGCGTGTCTTTGTAAAGCAGAACCGCTGTGAAAATTGCCTGTTCTGCCCAGAGCTCTCTCCCGACAGCATTTCCCAGCGCCCCAGCAAAACTCTGCCAATCAGTGTGTACACGGTCCTGCCAGCCCCACAGAAGCAAGCGATGGGCAGGGTTTCCCACAGCAACACCTAAAAAGGGCTGGGTCGGCACAAAAGCTGAACTCAGATTTGAATTTTAAGTGAATTTTCCCACCAAGCCGGCGTACTTAAGGAAGAGAAATCACGCCCTGAAAACACCAGCGAAGCTCGCCAGAGCTGCTTTCTGCGAACCAAGCGGGCTGAACAAACTGCACGGGAGGAGGAATTCGACAGGAAAGGATGCAAAGGTGGCCAACAGGTGCGTGAGCGAGCCGCCGAGGAAAGATCCCGGGGCGCGCGGCTCCCCCGGACCCCGCGGCGCGGGCGCGGGCGCGGGCGGGACAGGCCGGGAGGCGCGGCGGGGTCCGGAGCCC